TCGAACAATGTGAAGTATACACCACTGTTATGTCGTTAAAAAATCGGAACAGTCCTGGGTGCGATGGTATTAAAAGCGAGCATTTGAAAATTATAGCCGAGGACATAACAGAACCACTAACTTACCTAATCAACAAATGCTTTGAATCTGGCATATATCCCTCAATTTTTAAAAAAGGTAATATAATACCGATACATAAATCAGGAACAAAAACAGATATTAACAACTATAGACCAATATCAATAATATCCAGTGTAGCAAAGGTTTTTGAAAACGTTTTATCTACTAGAATGATTCAATACCTCACAAAATTCAAAATTTTAAATGAAAATCAATATGGATTTACAGAAGGGAAGGCTACTAAGGACGCAATAACTAAAATTGTAAATCTAATACATCAAAATATTGATGACAGAATCCCTTCAATCTGCATTTTTGTTGATTTAAAGAAAGCTTTCGATACAGTTAATCACAAATTATTATTAGAAGCATTGGAGAGAATTGGTTTCAGAGGAAACGCGTACTCACTGATCGAAAATTATTTGTCAAATCGCCCACAATCTGTGCAGATATCAGGATCATTTAGTAAAGAAATGTATATTAAGTGTGGTGTCCCACAAGGAACTGTCTTAGGTCCGCTGTTATTCAATATATATTTAAATGATATTTTCCAAATTAATTGTGTTGGCAAAATAACTAGTTTTTCAGATGATACTTCAATATTATATGAAGGCACTGACTGGTCTGATCTGAAAAATGTAACAGTAGAAAATTAAGCACTACTCTAAAACACATTTTTTACCATTTGGATCTTATGCTAGACATCTGACAAATTACACAAATTTCTCCTTCAAGGTTAATGATCAAAAAATGCAAATTAATAGAGTGCCCAACATAAAATACCTTAGAGTGGTCATGGATCCTGACTTACGATGGGACATACATGTCAATTATATTTTAAAGGAAGTTAGATTTGTATTCTACAAAATTAAATACCTTGGGAATATATTGACAGAAAAATATCTTCGAACATTATACCATGCACTGATTGAGCCTCATCCCACATATGGTATATTAGCATGGGGAGCTGCATGTTCCTCACATATCTATAATTTAGATGTTTTTCAAAAAAGTATTCTAAAAATGATATTTAAAAAACCGAAACTTTATCCCACTGAAAAATTATACGCAGATGTTCGAATGTATGATATAAGATAGCTTTATTTCTTACACAGTATCACTCACTACCATAAATTTGTAAACACCGACCAAAAAATTAAAGATAATCATTATACCAGGTACAAAATTCGTGGCACAGTAGTTCCTCAACCGCATAAATCTATAATGCAGCGATCATATCTCTATTTAGCGCCTAAATTTTATGAAATTATACCTAAAGACTTAAAAGATTTACGTTTCGGAAATTGTTTCAAAAGAAATTTACAAAAGTGACTACATTCTATATCTAGGACTGAAATTCATAAACTCATAAATACGAGCATCAACTAAATACATAATCTACTGTAGCTAATTTTTGTCCTTTTTTGTCATTTGCATTCTACAGTTTCAACTTAAATTATTGGTCCATGTACAGGCGATGCCTTCTATTGGGCCTGTTTTGATTTTATATTTATTTACTCATATTGTTTGTTATCTTTGTACATTGAGTAAATAAATATTATTATTATTATTATTTTTATTATTCAAAACTCGTGAAAAAAAATGAAGCATCATATACAGGTCCGCATAAGGGGGGGCTTCTATGTAACATTTCTTCATCGAGGGCTTCATTAAAAAGAAATGTTGAAATTTAAAAATAGAAAAAATTTTTTTCAATATCATCAAAACCGTCATTGAACTAAAATTTAGTATGTGGATTTAATTAAGTATTGTCCACATTCAAAAGTCTTTACTTGAAATTGTCGTGTACTAGTGGCGGAGATACAGGGGATTAGTGGCATTACCAAATAAAAATAGTACGCCACTGTTTTTTTTCCGTAACGCGCAATTTTCCGAATTTTACCTTCAATTTTCTACAAACAATTACTCTTTTGTTTATTTTCTAAAGTGCATTGTTTTCGTAAAAATAGAAAAAAACAAATTAGATAACCAAAGCTTTATTTCCATAAATGTTCAAAAATGCCACCATTCTGACAGATACAAGTGCGGCATCTCCTTTTAATAAAGAAAAACGTATTTTCGCAAAATTTGTTGAAGCTTGAATTTGATGAAACGCGTTATCTATTCTTTCTTGTAACTGATCAACAGTATTAATTTGATCGGCATACACTATGCCCACAAAATGAAATCCAGAGGGTTCAAATCAGGAGACCTCGCAGGCTAATGTACGAGTCCATTTCTGCCAACTAGTCGTTGTCTAAAATGATTATTTAACATTGCGGTTATGTCACGACGAACATGCGGCGGGGCACCGTCGTGCTGATACCACATTCGTACCTCGTTGCTAACGGAACATCATCTAACACATTTTCTATGTAATTCCTTAGAAAAACTAAGTATGAGTTTGCATTTAAACGTTGTGGCAATATGTTGGCTATCGAAAATGCCGCAAAAGACATTACTAGAAAATCTGTGCTGAAACGAGTGGATTCTTACAGTACGGAGATTTTCTAACCGCCAAATATGTTCATTATGAGGATTAAAGGTTCCACTCTTCGTAAAGAGAGGTTCATCTGACCACAAAACCAAACCAATAAAATCTGCAATTTGGTTATGCGTTTGCAGTAACCACTCACAAAAATTTCTCCGTTACACTTAGTCGCCGTGTTGCAGACATTTGCCGATGGTAAAGATGTAAAGCCTTCCGATTTAAAATTCTACACGCAAGATCTTGGGAACATGGTAACTGGGCTGCAATGCATCTAGTACTTGTATTACGATCATCCAACACCAAATTAACCGCTTCCAGCTCCTGTTGAATAGTATGCTGGATACCATGGCATCTAACTCTGGGAAGTTTGGCAATTCCATATTGCTGAAGTCTTAGAAATGAACGCGTAAAAACGTTTGGGGTAGGTGCGCGTCTGTTAGGCGTTGATACTCCCAAGAAGCCGCTAAAGCATTTCCATTACAGAACCCGTACATAAAAATAATATCGGCGTACTAATCATTGCCAAATTCACAACACTCAAAATGGAAAAAGGAAACTGGCTTGACTTTTACAATTAAAAAATGGTGGTAGTAATGATAACAACCGCTTAACTTTGACAAACTATCTCCCAAGAAACGTCAAGCTAGTATCAAGGACTCCTATTTTACTTTGAAAAAAATTGTATCTTGGCTCTCCATGAATGATCCAATATGTTGTATTTTTATTTTTACGAAAACATTGCACTCTAGGACAAAATACAGGAGTAATTATTTGTAGTAAAATGGAAGTAAAATTTTAAAAATTACGTGCTCCGAAAAAAATAGTGCCGTACTATTTTTATTTGGAAAGATAATGCCACCAATCCATGTATCTCCGCCACTGATGCTCGTTAATTTTAAATAAAGACTTCTGAATATAGAACATACTTAGGTAAATCCACATACCAAATTTTAGTTCATTCCAGTTGACGGTTTTGAAGATATTAAAAAAAAGTTTTTTATTTTTAAACTTCGGCACCCCGTATCTTGGAGGAGAAAATGTTACATAGGAGACACCCCTTAAAATGCGGTCCTGTGTATGATGTCTTATTTTTGGTCATGACTAGTGAATCACCCTGTATATGTCCCTACTATAAATAATAAATAACTAATTGAATAAATAAATTAAATATTCCCGACTTCTCTACTAATAGTATAATATAGAAAATGTGGATGTTTGTTACTAAATCACGTATAAATATCAATTGAGGATCACCAGTGTGAGCTATTAAGATTCTAAAATATCTATTGCCCAGAACCATTGGAAATAGTTGGATAGATAGGTGTGGTGTAAAACTACATGAATCAGAAAAGCCATTCCTTAAACTGACAATGAATGAATTCTATGGGCAACAAGCATGGTTGACATATGGTCTACGACCCCATTTTGATACCGCTAGAATTGCACAGATTTTTTCGTGAAATAGTGACAATAGAATAATAATACGGAATCGGCTGGAACTAAACTGGAGTGATTACGACGTTATTATCATTATTGTACAGTATAAATGAGGCTTGAGTTCAACTAAATTTTTTGATGAAGCAGATACTGCAGCATTAATCAAAGTCAACCTTTCTGACAGTTTGTGATGTAGTACTCAATAATCTATTAATCGATATCAAAAAATATCTAAAATGCACAAACGATCATATGTTGTAGGTTACGGGTTGAATACAATATATCTTGATGACGAACACATTTTTCCACTTATCAATAATTGCGAATCGTATATATATTACTGATATGTCGTTGTTCTAAGAATGCTAGAAACTGTTTCTAAAGCTCATTCAGACTGGAGATAACCTCAAGGTTAGTTTAACCATAGCTTTTGTCTTCTACCTGTGTGAATCTGCGTCACAGAAATTTGTTAAACAACTCAAAAATTTAATAATCGAAATTATTATTATTGTTATGCACTGTCGTGATACCCCTGAAAGCTATATGCATTTTTCTTTAAAAATGACAAATTGATTCGACCTTCTCATGTGAAAAGACAAAAACACGACCAAATATTTGTTTGTAAAGGATTTTCCATCGAGTCTCCTTGCGATGTTGATATGGGTCTTTAGCAGCTACTCAATCACGGAGTGACTGACAGCTTAGCTGCTTTTTTCTAGTCAACGTCACGCATGACCGAACATATGTTTCGTATGGCCAAGTTTCTTCGTAATTTGAATAGTCAATATCAGGTGCAACGAAAATGGGGATTAGATATATCACATGCCCTACACCTCCCTTGAGGACTTAATAGAGAAGAAACATTGGTGGAGAATGCATGAACTAAATAATTAATCCCAGCATTAACTGCATCCCGAGCTTTGATTACAACTTACATTCGATTTTTTTCCAGGAGCAATGGGTGACACTGCAAACAAGCTGTTACTCCTCAATTGGAAGAACTGGACGCTGCAAGCCAGAAAACCGTTTCAGACAACACTAGATATTCTACTTCCTGTTCTCATTTCTTTACTTTTGTTGTATTTGAGAAGCCAAGTGGATCCAGAATTACATAGTACACAGTATTATGAACCGTTTTGTACTGCACCAATGTCAATTCCTGATCTACCATTTTTATGCCCACCTAACAATCAAAGCCTTCATGACCCTTTAAGTATGATTTTATCACTGACTGGGGGTAATAGTACTCCTATAAGGTAAATCAGCTCTTTACTTTATTAGTAGACTTGAAATTGATAATCTTTATAATAACATCTACAACAAAAATAGTATTACAGATCTTCCCATTTCACTTTTTGAGTTCGGACATGAATATGTATGTTTTCTTGTATTTTGAATCTGTGTTACGCATTTGTATGGAAACAGTACGTGTTGAGGGTTATTAATAAAACTATTTGTCAGAAGATTCAGTTTCATTATTAACATAACCGCAAGGTATTAACCATTATACCTTGAAAAATATGGACTTATTCAGTTATTTTCATAAAACGAGTTTACACATTATTTGCACGCAACGTAAAATAAATTCCAATTAACCCGAAAACAGTTCATCTTTGCTTTATATCAAAGAAATCAAGCCACAAATTATTGTTAGATTTTCTACTGACGTTAATATATCATTTTATGTTTTTTTTTTAGTCAAATGTCACTAATTTACTCACCAGACAATCAAGAAATAGCAAAAGTAATGAATGTATTCAAGATAGCATTCCATGATGTCAGGGCTGAAAAGAATGCAAACGACTTAACAACTGCTTTCAAGATGAATTCAAAGACAACTTTCGCTGGCATACAGTTTGATGATACTTACAGCAATATTACAGACCTGAAGAAGATAAAGAACTTCAAAGTCACTATAAGGTGATTGTAAAAAACTTCCTCTTCTAAAATGCCGGCGTGTTCAACAGAAGGCGTAACAATATGTCAAAAAATTGAAACATTACTGAGTAATAGTATTCATTCAAAAATCCACTTGTTCACGCGTTTTTCTTTATTACATTCGATTTTGTGTTTTAGATTTCCTGGAGAGTTGAGAATCCCGAATGGTCGGGATAGTGACTGGCAAACAGAGTTCGTATATCCACCACTACAGGAACCTGGTCCTAGATATTCTAATAGTTCCACAGGAGCTTTCCCAAGTATGTAACTTAGGATGTAATCAGTTATGCTTCTTGCGTTCTCATATTCCTGTATAATTTATTTTTAGGTTATCACAATGAGGGTTTTCTTCTTCTACAGCACGTACTGGCAGTTTCTTTTATGTTATCTCAAGATGGAGTAGTTATTAACGGAAAGAATGATATTGCGAATGTAGTCGAATGGATAATGAAGACGCGGTTTCCTTTAATATATATGCAACGATTCCCCCATTACGAATGGTACAAAGATCTTCTGATGGAAGTATTGAAACTGGTTATGGGGGTATTCATGATCCTTTCTTTTCTCTACCCATGCATCAATACTGTGAGGATGATTACCATTGAAAAGGAAAAGCAGTTGAAGGTACAATAATCTGGTATCTCATATGGCAAAAGAAAAAAAAAATCGTCAAGAATGTGTAACGGTTTCACCGTCCGATCTTATTTATTCCAATTTATGTAAGCCTTCCTTTCCGCAAAAAGTCCAGAAAAGATGGAATGCAATGACGATTCCAACTTTTCTGCACAATCACAGAAAGGGGGTTACCATTAGCTTCCGGTAGCTCAGTCGGTGGCATGAAGACATCTACAGGCGTGTAGCTGTGTGTCGACCATGGCATGGCTAGAGGATAGAAGAACAAACAGAACAACAAAATTTAACAGATTTTATTTAACAAAAGAAGCATTTTCATTACATTTGAAATTGAAATTTTAAAGAACAAAATAAGTTTTAAATCTTTGGCGCTGCTATAAAACTATACACTTATCTTTCGCTGGTCCATTTTTGACTGGACTGAAGCGAGGATGGCCAGGTGCTTGAAGTGGAGGTCCCAGTTATAAGGGGTGACCTCACATTTAGTGGCTTCAAAACTAGATGTAGGCGAAGTTGAACTTAAAGGTGATGGCGCTGCCAAGGCACATGCATGGGTGAAGTGATAGGCCAAGCAATGCAAAGTCAAAGACAAAGGCAAAGGCAAAAGTCAAAGACAAAGGCAAAGGGAAAGGGAAGGGGGTGGCCCCAATCTGAAAAAGAACCGTGTGCATTAGCAACGTGCCCTAATGGCCAAGGCATTTCCAATCTCAGTCTGCCTCAAAAGAGAACCAACGATTTTCTAGGTTAGAATTGCATTACATAGTTTGATAAAATCAAACCGAAAATTGGAAATGCCTTTCATAAAATAAAATCATGAAATAGCAAAAAAAGCGTAAAACAAGATGGTGGTCATCAAAAATTTCTCCACATGCTTCTGATATAAAAACACAAATATCGAATAAGTATTCATAATCAACGTACTCATAATTTCACTGAACTATGAATATATATAAGTACGCACACAGAGGTAAAATCGATGTGGATCGATTTCTACCTCGATTTGATTAAAGTTATGGTGAATGATCGGAGTAGTCGAAAATGACGTTCGATGGATATTCTAAAATCGTACAAGAAATAAACCACTTAAATATTGATTATCTATAAACTACAGGCAGATCCAGCAATAAAACTGGATAGTATTATAAAACTCACCATTTTTTCCTATTCGAGCACACATTCTACAAAATTCTAGCACATGGTGCTATATGACCTCATGCTACAGAGAACAAAATTCTTAGCTCTTGCTAGATCGGCGGCTCAAGTGACAAGGAAGCGCGAGGAAGATCGCAGATCAGGAACTCCGCATCAAGCGCGCTCCAAGCGGAAATTTTTCCAAGTAAAAAATCTAGAGATGGGATTAATGAAATGATAATCGAGAAGTGATTTAATAAATACGATCGGACGGTGAAACCGTTACAAATGTTAACTATGCACTTACGCAACCGTCATCAGTTCATATATGATTAAGTTCAGCACTATGAGAAAAAGATAGTCACGAACATGTACGACAGAAACATTAAATAGACCAATTCGGGCAAACAGGCCAACCCTATTAGTTCATAGACATTCTTTCCCTGCCATACCGGTAATTGCCGTCCATCTGGCAACATTGCCTCGTCTCATATCGTCAGACGCGAGGTACCGCCTCTGATCGTACTGGTCAGAATAATCAAACAGACCGCTGACCCCAGATAGCAGAAGGACCGGCGTATTAAACACATTCCTCTATCAGTCTGGGCCTTAAAGACAAATGTACGGGGAAACCTATGTGAAAAATGACGAGTACGGATTGGACAGCGTATAAATATACTAACATCAAAAAATTAAGACACAATTGACCTTCTTCTCCGCCGCCACTAGACCGACTTTCAAAAACTACAAAGCTTGTTCGTCCTTGTTGTAGTAGTAACCTTGTGTACTCGTAGAAATGAAGTCTGGCAGACAGACAGACAGACAGACCGACAGACAGACATACAAACCCACAGACAGACCGGCGGAAATGGTTGAGATGGTATTTCGTGATGTACATCTCATATAACATCCTAAAAATGTATCTCTGTAATTGTTAATGTTTGGATTGTATTAAGCCCAAAATTATTTTTGATTGCAGGAAAGCATGAAAATAATGGGTCTCTCCAACTGGTTGCACTGGACATCCTGGTTTATAAAATATTTCATCTACATGTTCATTGCTGTCTGCTTAATGCTAATAATTTTGAAGATACCATGGTTCTCCAAGTATTCAGTATTTACTTATTCAGATCCATCTGTGTTACTGCTCTTCCTTATATTCTACACTTCGTCAACTATAACGTTTAGTTTTATATTTTGCACAATATTTTCGAAAGGTAAGTCACAAAGTCCTTAACTATTAATTAACGTCACTCCAAGAACATGCCCATATCCTATGCTAAGGTCAAATACAATTTATGTCGTCGCAGTCATGTTGCCAAGTTGGATCGCTGTAATTCTTCTAGATGAAGTAGAAAGAAAATTTATTATTAGTAAAGGAAGTTGTTAATTCTCAGACATGATATCAAACTTTTGAGGCAAGATCCTTTAACATTTATTGTAAGTATACTCAGTGACATTAGAAGTGTTACACCCAGAAAAAATAATTTCTTCAACTTGATTTTTTGGCAATGAGGTAGTCTGACATCAAGAATGGAACGATAAGAACTAATAAGAAAAAAACTAATATTGTGTTGGGCGACCCCGCAGCTGAATACAGTGCTGTATGCGTCTAGGCATCGACAAAATGAGATGATCGATGTCTGGTTGTGGCACCTGATTCCAAGAAACTCGAACCTCGTGGACTAGCTGTGGCAGAGACTATGACCGATGGTGCAAAGTGGATAGTTTCCTCCCCATCATATCCCACACATGTTTGATGGGACTTAAATCCCGTGAACGGATGGCCACTACAAAACATTAACGCCTGCTTCTTGAAGAAAGTCCGTAGTACAACGAGCAATAGGAGGACGTGCGTTGTCTTGCTGAAGAAGGACGTGTGGACGACCCTCTAGATACAGCAGTAAAGTGGTTTGTAGGACATCATCATCTTAACGCGCAGCAATCATATTGCCTTGAACAAGGAGATGGGGTAATCGACTACCATAGGCAATAGCCCCCCAAACCATTACTTGGACAGTCCAGCCTCTCAACAGCAAATCCAATATGACGCCGTTCTCCACGGCGGCGTCTTACCCTTCTTTTGGCCATCTTGCGATTGCTCGATGAAGATGACATTATGCCATTCTGTTCCCCAATGTTGACGACAGTGGTCCGCAGTCAGAGGAAGCACTAACCGTGGACGGTATGAAAGAAGTCCAAAGGCTCGAATGAGGCGATAGATTGTACACGGAGTAACAACTCTACCTTCTCCAAACCATTGGTCAGCGATCTGACGCGTTGTAGTAAAACACTCTCGTGGGGCTAGTTGTCTGAAGCGCCTATCTTGATGCTCTGTAGTATGCCTCGGTGGACCAGTTGGGCTTCTTCGTGTTCCTCTATCTTCTTCTATCCACACACGTATTACCGTCATTGCATTACAATTAACACGGCGGCGAATTTCGTGATAGGACAAACCAACATCTCGATAGGCAATAATTCTGCCCCTGCCAAAGTCGCTAACATGGTCGTATTTTGGACGTCTTTTAACTAACATTTTGTTGCATGAAAGGGCAATAACTAAAAATATTTGTACTACTCAGCTCTCTCAAACTGCTTTCTTCACAGAAACTAAGAGATAATATTTTAACAAAGGTAAACAGAAACTAAGGTAAAACGTTGAAATTGCTGCCACAGCCTGCTTTAAATATAGTCATTATATTGCCAAAAAACAAATTGAAGAAATTATTTTTCTTGGGTGTAACACTTTTAATGTGAGTATATTTCTATGGTCTCGTATTCTGAGATTTTCTCAGCAAATGAAAAGAAATCCTATAACCCGCAGCGACAGTGTTCAAGTCGAGTCTATAATAATTACAGTGTCATTGGGTATTTTCTGGAGTTTTTTAATTAAACATTTTACTATGCCCGCCCATCGTTAACTATGCTTTCCATCTGCCTCGCAGATCGGTGCAAAAACAACATAGGTAGATCGCATCGCTGGAGCTGGTTTATTCAATAATCAGTTATCAGTAGATGACTGGTGGTGTAGTACCAAAGAGTAATTATATGAAGAAAATATACTTCCGGAAGAATATACTTATAATCCGCCGATTGAATCGATTGGCGCTATACAAATATTTTTTTCTGCACAGCAGAGGCGCCGACCGGGGTCCGCTCAGGACCTTTACTGGTTGATAAAAGAAACAACGATCTATGAGCGGACTGTCCTTGGTTTGACAACTCGCTCATAGATTACCCAACATGTTTTCAAGGATACGCGTGTTGCGCTCTGCATTTACAGAGGCGGTGTGACCAAAAGGAATATAGTATAAGTATAAAACACGCTACATATATAAATATATTCTGAACTTGGTGGAGTTTAGTTCTCTTCACGGTTTTTGGTGGTTCCGCCAAAAACTCATACGAAATAGGTAAATATATCGTCTTAAAGCCAGGCTGTATAGGCGTCTGGCAACAATGACACATACACCGACGATTGTCCAAATAAGCAATTTGAGGTTGGAAAAAAATTTAATTTTAAGCTGGCATTCCTCTTTTATTACTGAGCTGTATAGTCTACTATTCCGCGTAGAACCCAAAAAGTTAAATAGCTATGACAACATAGAGATTATAAGAAAAATTTCTGTTTACATGACGCGGAGAGAGCTCGCGAAAAGTGTGATTTATAAATTTACTGAATGAGAAAAATAAGCTTGAATAAAAATGCTCTCACTACGAATAATTGACATGAATTCATCCACTACTCAATAAAATTAAGGGAACAAGAAACAATCCCAAACTTTCCGGTGATCTTTGGAAGGCTGTATTGCGGTGGAACGTGGTGGTATCGAGACTTTAAAAAAGCATTTTGAAGCTTGATTATTCAAGCTACCAGTTTTTTAGCCAAAAGATTTTTGGAGCAATAGCTCTCATGTAATTCTAATAGATAGCTCAAGAAAAATTGATTGCAAAATTTTTGACTTCTTATATCTCGTTTGTGTTTTTAAAATATCGATACCATCATTTGGTGCAGAGATATCCGTATGAATGAAAAAGGATCTTTTTGTCATCGACAGCCGAAAGCTGGGATAAATCTTCAATAAAGTTTGATCGCAATCTTTGAGGATTTTTTTGGTTCACTTAGTATTGATTTTAAAAAAGTCAAAAGTAGTTATTTTTTGCCTTGTTTTGGTAAATCTACTACATTTGAACTAATGTTTTTAGTTTTTTTTTTACATCTTAGTGGACCCCTAAGGAGCTTGCACGACGACAAATCGATCCATTGTACGGTTTCTCGGATCCGATTGCTCAAAATTTGAATGATATCAAAGGAGCAAAATTTTTGTACCAAAACATCACATAATCTGGTTGAGGATGAAAATGTTTCTCCTTTTGTTGATGCTATTGGATATCTATAACATCTTCAATTTAAAAAAAAAGCAATTGAAAACAATTTAGGCTTTATTCCAGTTTTGGAAATACCCTTATATTCTCTGTGCGATCACTGGTTACCGAGTTATCAGTGGTCGATGACATGAGGATCCTCTTCCATTTAAAGTCAGATATCTCCGCGCCAAATGGTGGTATGATTATTTTCAAGACATAATATTGAAACTAAATTCAAGCCCGTGGCCACGGTCTGTTTAATAACTGGTGAGATCCAAAACGGGGTTGAGAGATGAATTTTTCTGTGGTAGGTAAAATTTTTGGTATTCAACAGACAAGCCAAAAAGGTGGGTTGATCAAACAATGAATTACAACCCACCAGTTCACTGTTATAATAAGGTAGTGGTTCAATAAATGGAGATTTGATAATATAGTATAAAATAATAATATAAAATAGTAAATTCAATGGAATTAAAACAAAAATAGTATCCTTTACAAACACAAACAAGTAATAAATCAATCTGCAATTCTCAAAAAAAAACAGTTTCTAGGTAAATCCATAAATAAAAGTAATAAATAAACAAAAATAGGATTCTTTGGAAAATAAAGACAAAAAAACCTAATACGAGCGAAGTAGCAGTCTGAAAAAATGCATATTGTTTGACAAAATGGCCGAACTGGATAAGGCTATCCGCTGGTTGTTCCACCTCCACATTCATAAGAAAATTGAAGATGAACATTGAAATCTAAAAGAAGTATTTTGTTTCTCAAATGTCTGGAAATATTTTATGACTAAACGGGATAATTTATTTGATTAATGCATCATTATGTAAATTAAATCAAGAAGGACTTAATTTCCTATTTACTTATAGAGAAGGAGCCCCACAGCTCATGACGCTTCTCCTACATATGCTATACCGTCTGTGGAGTGTAGCCGCCTGGGCTAAGCAAGTCCACCCTGCTCTGCAATATTCAATCACCAAATCATTACTGAAGTATCTGTTTGCAATAGCATTGAGAGGATTTCTGAAAAAGCAAAAATTCCATATACTTGGATGTCTGCTTAAAGTGACTGAACCTACTCGTATGTGAGCAAGAAGACCAGAATGCAGTTTTGCAAATATGAGAAAAAATCGGACTATTGCCACACACAAGGTTTTCCTTCCGTGGCAGTGCTTTAATTTGTCATTGTTGCTCCTGTACTGGCAACAAACTATAGCAATCTGTATTTTTGTCAAATTAGAAAAATAAATTATTATTATTTATCGACTTAGAAAGTGGTTAAACTAAATACTGGTGAAATACTTTTTATTGCTAATGAAATTAGTAGCAAGAAGGACAAATATCCAGCGTTAATTTCGTAATCTAAATGTTTTTTATATTTAGATTTTAGATGAGACTGTGCATTTTCCATCGTAAGGATGTTCGGTAGCCGAGCACTTATGGCTTGTCTATTCAATACCGAACATCCGACCTACCATATCAAAATTGAGGAAACAACCTGCTTCTCCTTGAATATTGAAATTCGAAAGAAATATGTTGCTCTTCAAAAGTCTGGAGATGTTTTATAAATAAAGATGTCATCTGTCTTGAAAATCACACCATATTGGGAATTTAATTAAGGCTGCACCTATCCAACAACAATAGTCCACCGCCACTGGAGACCAACCAAGCCGCTCGCCCCTATAGAATGCGGTTCTTTTTATCAATTATTTTTTATTGCTCGGACATTACCTTGCAGTATCAATAATGCTCTTTAGACCGTCTTCGGCGCTAATACAACGTTGCAATTCGGTATTTTTGGAGGCCAGAAAATGTAAGAGGTATGTGCAAGTTGTATCGCCCATCTTTGTACTACGGGGTCCGAAAAAATAGTCGGAGGTGGTCTAGTCGCCGAGCTTCGCCTAATCACCACTACTACGACTTCCATCTAACTTCTTTTATTTGCAGCTAATAGAGCTACAATGGTAGCTGGAGTTGTCTGGACTTTAACAATAATCCCATACGCCATTTACTTACAAATGGATAGTACAAGCTTGGTTACGAAACTATTAATGAGCTTCTGCTCGAATTCTGCAATGTCGTTTGCTTTCGAGATAATATTTACTTATGAAGGAATTGGTGAAGGTAAGTTTTCCGGATAATTTGATGGTGCAAGTATGACCTTGAAATGGGAACGAGATTAAGATGATTATCTTAAGGTTAATGTCCATTATGCCTTCAATATCAACAAGGAATTATAACTTTCCAGGGTATTCGATGGATGAAAATAGCAATAGACTATTGTGCTCATTTCTTTTGAAATGGGTCTACCTTTTTCTCAACACATAATACTCAATATATTTCAGGTGTTCAGTGGAGCAATATGTTTCAGCCCATGTCTCTAGATGATGGCAACAGACTGGGCTTAATGATAATGATGCTTATGTTAGACACAGTGATTTACTTACTGGTAGCCTTGTACATAGAAGCAGTTTTCCCAGGAGAATATGGAGTGCCATTGCCATGGAATTTTCCCTTCACTATGAGTTATTGGCGAGGAAACCCCAGTATAGGTATCTAATATTTGGTTAATGCAAACAAAATACGGTTCACTTTTTGCGATTTCTAATATTGAAGGTCAAGCTAACATCAAACATTACCAACATCGGGTATTCCTAAAAATAAGTTTACTACTTCAGCGCTGCATGGCTCGGCATAGCTAGTGCTATGTGACTAACACCACGGAGAGCCATGGAACTGATGCCGAACTTGTCACCACTAAAAATGGAACAAGTGGCTCTATCAATGATGATACACTTTAAATCTGTTGGCTTAATGTGGGATGTCAGGCAGCTAGTAATCGCTTGAGGAATACAGCATGTTACTTCTCTAGGCTGACGCAGACCGCGTTTCCTCAAAGTCCATCTTTGCACGACTCTATGCTTTTACCACAGCTTCTGAAAGCTAAATAGGGCAAGACGTCATTGAAATTTAAACTAACGGAGCTAAGAAAAATAATGGGACTGACTGCGGAGCGCTCCTGAGCATCTGTATGGATTACAACTGGTCTATAAGAAAACATAACGAAGGTCGAAATAGTTGGTATAACTTTAACTGCAAAGAAAACAGCCCACAGAAATATTATTGGCAAAAAAATCAGAATCTGCACAGACAGCATACAAGCAAGACTGACTCTCAAGCTTACAACGAGAAAAGTACTAGTGTGCCATTTGGCACGTGTGAGTTCCTCCACCGGCAATAACTCTTGCCTTGATTAATGTCAACACTGTAGCTGACAGATTGACAAAAAAAAGGCCCCGACCCCCTACATATTACCCATATGAGCCATGCTAACTATGATAAAAGGACATACAATCTTCAGGCTGCTTACTCGCTGAAGAATTACTCAGATATCCTAATGAGGAACTATCGAAATGTACCTGTCTATGTCTAGACAACAACTTGAGTTCTCGACTAGCGTTGCATCTGGACAGACAGCTAAAAAACTCTAGAATATGAGACTGAGACATCCTTGTGTAATAATATAGGGTGCTTAATGATTCATCCCTGAGTGACCCTTCGGTAGGGTTTACAAGCGGCTAAATGGGGCCTAAATGCTGCGATCTTGGGTCATTTACCCTTCCTCCTACACAGAATACAGGATGCTTACTACTTATTCCTTTCAATTAGGGTTGCAAACGTGATTATACACATACACCACGGATTTATCAAAAACCATTGACGTGCTGGGAAGTTTTCAAATATATATAGCAAAACAGCTCCATTAGAGTTACATTTAATAAGCGAGAAACTGCCATGCATAATCGTCTCGCGCATGCGTTTTAAATACTCCATTTCTTGGTGGGAGAGCTACCATATGCCATATTGTTGTTGGTTCCGTTGCTACGCAAGTATAAAGCCATGTACAGACCAAAAATCCAACACATCAAACGAATGCAAGCACATGTGACGTTGGCGTTTGTTGTTGGAAGGAATTGGAATGCGCTCGTCTTCACCTAAATTTAGTTTCGAGTTAGACCGCGTTGGGTTAAGTTCGGTGCTAATGTCGAGCGACGAGTCTCCTGTCATCGAATGCAGACAAACGACTAAATACTAGAAGAGCAACACATCCTGTCCAGACAAAATCAAACCTGCCTCTGATGTACCAATCAAGGAGCGAACGCAATCGAACGCCAACGCTACGGTGGAAACCGTTGGTTTATGTTGGCTCGCGCCGTACACACCGATTCGAACACCTCCAAATCTATAACCACATGTGCCTTGGCTTGCGTTGGAATTTCGGTCTGTATGCGGCTTTAAATGAAACGACGATTAGTTTAGAATGACGCCAGTTTATTGAATTGAATGAAAACACTTTACAGCTATATTGCACAAAAACATGGACACCAGTACCGGACCACCATATCACAATGCAGCTACTCCGATCCACCCATCGAGGGCCGGTCTTGCTCTCGATGTCTAGAACACCGATTGAGTTGAATATTTCATGAGCTTCTTTATTCTCTATAAATCATTCCTAATAGGGATCATCTGTCGAGCCACTAGAAGTCTCAATGCCAGGGTACCGCGGCTGCTATCGGGAGCTTAAAGAAACTTAATCCGATTTTTGAACTGCTTAGCGATAGTAGAACTGGGAAAAGCCTCCTAATGAAGATTCTACCACAATCTCGATACCCTAGTGTCCAACGAACAGTCGTATCGGCCAGTTCTGGATATACGAAGTTAGACAGGGTTGGGTTGGAAGACCAAAGTCAGGCGGATCTGTCTGGCATGTGCATGTAGCGGAAGGAGAGAGCTAGCTAGATTGCCGATGGTCTGCCGGTGCAAAATGGTCGTATAACCCTCCTTTGAACAGCATCGAGCATGAATAATATTGTCGAGCAGCAAACTTGGTCAGCTGGCTGCTATAAGTCAAACAGTAATTTTTGCCACTTTGGTTCCAATGCCTTTTCGTACTGAACCATTACTAGGACACACTTCTTTCCAGGTAAAGCATGTGACTGCCTCGGTACACTTCACTTGCAGCTATCTGAACTTTAAACCTCTATTATCAGGGACTCTGGTAGATTAAGAAGCTCATAAAAAATTCAACTCAATAACATAATGAATCTTAGAGCTTTAAGCGAACCACAGTACATGATTTTTTACAGGTGCGGACCTAAGAGATAGCTTACTATCTATAGATAATGAGTTCTTTGAAAAGGAACCAAAAGATTTGGTAGCAGGAGTACAAATCAGGAATCTAAGAAAGGTTTTTGGAACAAAAGCAGCTGTAGAAAATCTCAGTATGAACATGTACGAGAATCAGATAACTGTACTTCTGGGTCATAACGGAGCTGGAAAAACGACAACGCTGTCTATGCTAACAGGTAAAACTTAACAAATCACAGTATTGTAAAGACCAAATACTACATCTATTTTTCAAATTCATCAACAAATGTGTAGTCAAGAACCAAAATGAAAGAGAGCATAATAACAAATCGAACGCCAGTTCAACTGTACATACGTGTGTGAGGATTTCGCCGTACTCTAAGTCACTCTGCGTGGGTTACGACACTCTCTTCCATTCTGGGACTTAATTATAGCACAACTCTTTGAGTAATGATATTTCATCAATTTTGAGTTGGTGTTGTGCTCCGATAAAGATCTTTCTTCTTCTGAAGTTCTTATACAGAGGCAAATCTCGTTATGAAGCTTGCTATTCGTAGGATAAAATGTGGGAAGACCACTTTTCCATTAATATCATACCAAGGACTACAAGTTCTTGTAGCTCTTAGGAATCGGGTCAGTAATGGCGATATGAGCGAAACATGAAGACGTTGAGAATGCTCTCAAACCAAGTTTTTCAGGTTTTTGTATCTCCGATAATTTGTAGACAAGATTAAAAAGATTCCTGAACGAATAAATATTTTTTAAAATATCAAGGCTTCGTTTTCTGTCGAAAACTTACTATTCACCTTAGAGCCTCGCCAAAAAAGATTTCTTAATTCAACAAGAATTTTAAAATCAGGCTTATACACTACCAGGTAAAATCAACCGGAGTAAGAAAATTTTGTTCAAATCAAATTTTAAATGATTTTTTAACCTTTGCACCAATCTCGTTACTTTTTTCGTCAGTTGTAGGTAATTTCATTCCATCATTATCGACTGCCTTGCAAAAAAATTGAAAATGTTTGTTGTGATACAGGGTGTAACTAAGAAGTGCAATTTGCCCTAAGTTTCTGTACATCCTGAATAATGTGTCTTCGTATGAGAATTGTAAGCCTCAACTTTTCTCAATAGTTCTTTTTTTGATTCATGTCAATATCTCTATTATTGAAGAATACATGCTGTTTTGAAGAAAATCATGGGAATCATAGCCATAAACAATTTAATTTAAAAAATTACAATGACAACATTGGTAAGAAAACTATGCGAATCATAATCATGAACAATTGTCAGGGTTAATTTTTCGTGGCAGTGTGTATTCCACTTATTGCTAATAATGGTTTGAATGTTCTTGCAACTAGAATATTGAAGAGATTTATATCATGCTTGGGAGGTAATTCTATTTCTAGGCATGATAACAGCAACCCGTGGCACAGCAATAATAAATGGGCATGACATTCGTCGCGACATGAATTCTGTTAGGAAAAGTATGGGAATTTGCCCTCAACATGACGTCATATTTGAAGACCTGACAGTTGCAGAGCATCTGTACTTCTACAGCAGACTTAAAGGGCTCTCCAAGAAGAAAGCTGTAGAAGAGATTGAAACGTATATTGAGCTTATGGAGCTAACTGATAAGGTAGGTGAAGATTGAACACAAAAATCAGAGTCCCTAAAAATTATAGAGATTGGCTCAAAAAATTTTACAAAAATAAGCAGGTGTCTAAAAAGTCACAAAGCAAGTTAGAAAAATTCCTATTTTTATCATACTTTGCTCGTAGCTGCGCTGTGAGCATCTGGGTTTTAGAGAGGCCAATCATCAACACACAGATGGACAGACAGACCGTCTACAATACAGACAGACCGACAGAAATGTGTAAAAAACACATTAGCTTATTTTTTCATCAATGGTCATTACAGAAAATTAATATCAGAGATGTTTCGCAATTACAGTACTTTCTCAGCAATTGGCGTGGGAAACACAAAGAAGGCTTGATTTTGCTATTTAACAATGAAGTGCTTATTTTTAAATTAGATTTATTATTTCAACCGCATTAGGGCCTCTAATAACCTTTAAGTTCCCCCTCAATGACTCGAAAGCTACATCCATCTTCTTATGATATTACATAGCTAAACCAAAGAAGTACAGGTATAGTCAGCGACAGAATTATGTTCCTTTCAATTGGAAACAGAAACGCAATTATACAATTGGTAACAAATAATAAATAATACAGATGGATTTTTGAAGAATCACGGGTAGCGTGGTAACAAATAATGACATTTGATAGTTCAATGTTTTTTCAGAGAAATGCTAAAGCATCGACACTTTCTGGGGGAATGAAGAGAAAGCTTTCTGTTTGTGTTGCTTTATGTGGAAACTCAAAAGTTGTAATGTTGGACGAGCCCACTTCTGGAATGGATCCATCTGCTAGGAGAGCCCTATGGGACCTACTATTAAAACAGAAAAAAGGTAACAATTGACTCGTCATCGGCATATTTCAGTTCCTGTAGTGATTTCATCTGAAATAGATTTTTACTTTTCTAATATTCAATTTTTCATCCTAGTATATCTAAGTGCTGAAACATATAGTTTTGATTGATTTTTTGGACTACCTTTTGCATTTGTATATACTTGAGTTACCAGGCAGTCCTAAGGCCTAAATACTTGTACCGTGTGGTTATAGGAGGTACAGGGAAAAGGGGGACATCTCACAGTTTCTAGAGGGAAGTACGAGTGCATGTGACATGCTCACACATTCTGGACAATTTTAAGGGTCCAACGGGTGGTACCTCCACGCTCGTTGGTCTGAGACCGTCTATCACCTACGAACAACGATACCTTCCAAGGAACAGAATTCGAACCCGAGCAGTTCATAGTGACTAGGCTGGTAGACGCACACCGCTAACTATTATGCCACCAATGTAAATTAGTTGAGAAACAACATGAATTTAGGTTTTATTTTTTTAAGGTAGGACGATACTTCTGACTACTCACTTCATGGATGAAGCAGATGTGCTTGGAGATCGAATAGCGATTATGGCAGAAGGAGAGTTGAAATGTTGTGGTAGCAGTTTCTTTTTAAAGAAGAAATATGGAGCAGGATATATCATGACTATAGCTAAAGGACCTAACTGTGACGAAGGAAAAATTACGACGTTGTTAAAGACTTTTATTCGTGAACTAGAGGTATGTTGGAGTATTCAACCTTGAAGAATTCAAGGGCTTAACAGTTATGCAGAACTTCTTAATGACGGTTTTTTCTAGTTATGCAATTGAATGCTATAGCTTTGTTCCAGCAAAATGTTCTATGTATGTTCAAAAAATATATCTTTTCTTGGAACATCCAGTTTCATGATTTGAACAAGGACTAGTACCGACCTTTTTGGAACGATTTTCTAAATTCTGTGCATTCATTATCTACAAAACGTTAATTTTCACACACGGTTTTGTGTTGCATTTGGTTTTACCAACCATGAAAGATTACGAGTTTCTTGATGGGAAAACAAAGCAGTACAATACAAATGCACAGAAATGCAATTATCTTGATTCAATTTTTGTGATCTCAAGTGCAAACCACATAACGGTGACCAAAGAAGCATAAGGGCAAACAATCAACCCGACACTGAACTTTCAGCTGCGCATGCCTGATCTTGCCTGTACCAGAACTGTACACCTGATTGTATTTAGCAAATATTTTTCCAGTAACGAATTAGTTGCGAACAGACACTACAGCTACTGGATCAACGAACATCAATCAAATGAACCGAAACCTGGACTGCTAACATAGAATCAATGCTTTGGAATGGTAATGCGAATTTACTTCTGGACGTGTTGAATGCCTCTGCTGGAACAAAGCTTGCACCTTATGTGTGTTACTTAGCTACAGCAATAAACCACAGCTTCTTAGTCTAATTTGTACGCAAATATGTCCTACAGTAGTATCTTTCTAGATCAATACCAACACTGACTCTGAGCTGACATATTTGCTACCAGAAAATCGAGTAAATGTGTTCGAAGCAATGCTAACACAATTAGAAGGTGAATCAAGCAACCTAGGTGTTCAAAGCTATGGTATTTCATTAACAACCCTAGAAGATGTTTTCATGAAGTAAGTGAAAGTTTACATAGTTTGTCAGGAAAGCAATGGTCTCATTTTTTTGTAACGCGACTATTCAACGCAGCGCGGGAAGGGTGGAGGCAATTATCAGCTTTCCAGCGATGTCCTTGCCAGTCAACTCCGAGCTATTGAAGGGTGCAGACGTCGCTTCTAGTGAACCGTTATTTTTCTGGAAGAAGAAAACATCAAACGAAATATCGCTCCAGACAGCGTTCGGGGATGCTAAATGTTGTGCTTCAAAGGCTGAGCCGTAGGGTAGCCCGCGTCCGAAGAGCAATTCGGTCGCCCTGGAAACTGCGCCAGGGGCATGTCGCTTTCCGTCATACATATAAACCAATATGAGAATATGACATCTAATTCTAGCGATCGTTTATGTCATTATGGTGATATTTGATGAGGGCAAGGCGCTTCTAAATCAAGGTGATGGTAGTGTCTCGATGGAGAAAGGTGGTATTTCGCAGAAAATTGAGCTTATCACTCTCCAGACAAACCCTGTCCATATATTTATTTTAGTCTTATAAGTAAAAGACATCCCAGCGTGGAATTCCACCGGAAAATATATATTTTTTTTAGGGTTGGCGCTGATCATACACAGGAGCTAAATAATCACCAAGATCTATCACTTGAAGATGGTAAGTTGACATTCCAGTTACTTATACTCAAGATAAATAACGGTGGATTGGTCCACAGGAAGGACACTATAACAAGTAGACAGTTATTATTCATGTATTTACTCGACAAATGAAAGAAACAAAACACTTTGAGCTATTATGTAACTTATAAGACATTTTTCCAGTGTTAAACATTATTTAATGAATTAAAGTTCTATTCAATTCTTCCGCTTGGCAAGTACTACAGTTCTATACAACGCCGATATGATAATTCAATCATTAAACTTCTACTGACTCTAACTAACGTTATGATCAAAATATCTTCCTATATCCCTTAAACTACATAATAACACTATCAGTATAAGTATCACTAAAAACGATTTGAAGTAATTTAAATGAATATCATATCGATATGAAATAAATATTGAGACGATACAATTTAAAAACCCGAACAACATATAACTAAGAACTATTATTTCCGAGATTTCTAGATGCCCCTAATCAGGCCCTTGCGCTCTAGTAAAGTCAATTTCCAACTTTTTGATTGGTCTTGCAAGGAACATTGGCTTTCCTGGGGATACTACAGATACTTTAACTAAAATAAATATAATAGTTTTGTCTTTAGCACCATATCAGTTCAGATTAAAAATACGTCTTGCTGCGAGCTGGTATAATAATTTTAACGTGGATGGCCAAAGTCAACACAGCGAGAGATGACACTGACAGAGTAACGATTCGAACGATTCTCTGTCTTGTCTCTGTTTTTGTGTTCGATGCGTGTTAGTGTCAGTAGAAGTAATTTGTCATCGCATGGCAGTAACTACGACCTTATAATAATGGGCCTTACAAGGAGCCTGGCGTTCTGTGGTCCACCCACCTTAGTATTAAGCAACTGTTTCACACTTTACATGGATAAACTATCAGCAAAAGCCCCAGTTATAACATGATAAATACTGACGAATCACAGTAAATACTGATCGTGTCATATTCACCATAGGGATGCTAACTTAAGTATTGAGTATAAGACTCATAAGATATTAGCATTGCACAAATTTACATATCAGAAACAATTGCAGTCACGGAGCCTCGATATTTACGTTACTGGTACTACGCAAATGCATCACCAATAAAAAACACTGAGTTGTAAAATATATATCGAAAAAGCCTTTTATACAAATGAAATATGTATTTCTGCATTGCAGATAGTCTTCCAAAACCCATCTATACCTCAGGAATTCGCTTGATAAAAAACCAATGCTCCGCCATGTTTTTGAAGAAGTACAAAGCGATACAGCGCTCCTGGATGCTTTGGATCATCCATCTCTGTCTACCTCCACTCTTTGTGATCCTAATCATGGCTCCTTCAAGGATCATAGGTATTAATGATTTGCCTGCCATGCCACTGACTTTAGATAAATATCATGATCCAGTAACATTGGTTGAAAGCGGTGACGATCTTGGAGGATATTATGACAGTTTCAAGAAGTTGATCCAATGGAAAAATCATAATGTTACGGATGGAGCCATAATCAGTGATATGATTCGTCTAGTAAGTTGTTTGATAGCAATAGAGGTGAAATAATTTACGTATTCTTCGTTAAGATATGATATATATTCTAATAAAGCTAATTTTCGATAAGATCGCAGCGAGGAAATAAAACGATAAATTGAGGAAGGTATTCACAGCCAATGTAATATCTAAGTATTATTGTAGATTTCATGCTGATAAGTTTCTATGCCTTCTGGCCATTAGACCAAAACCACAAATGTAGTATTAACTTTTTACTAACGTTTCGATCACCCCGATGACCTTTTGACTTGTACCTGACGAAAAGATTTGGAAGTACTACTGACATTTCAATTGATAAGAGTTAATAAGCAAACAATCCCGGCACGACGATTACTTCCAGTAAAGTAGTATTAATATACTCGCGAAAAATCAGTGGCATCTTAACGATACTTATCGTAAACTAACGTCATATCGACAACATTGCATAATAGCCATATTTGTTCACATCAATTATACATTTTGAATACATTGATAACCCTCAAATGAAAACTATTCTAACACCTATAACATATAACACAGTAGTTACGATAAATTAATTGATAACGACTAGAAAAATTCTATATAATATTAAATGTAATAGTTATAAATTAAAGTTCTTATAAATTACGTCTTGCTTATACGAGTATTAGTATTCAATAGCCACTCGTATATATCTATTTTTAATAATGATGTTTGGTTCGTTTCTAATATATTCTTGTAAATTACGATATAATGTTGGACCTATGTATAATAAAGATTTCAACATTATTTCCTTTTTTGGTGTTGCAAAAATTATGTTTTGTTTAATTTCCAGTAACATATTCATAATTTTTATAAATGGTTGAATGTTTGTTTCTATGGAAATCATTACACCAAACTAATTTTTCTTTCATCAAAAGTTTTTATTTTCGAAATAGATATTTGGGTGGTATAATAAATATATATATATATATATATATATAATATATGCTTTGTTTTTATGAATAATTTTTGTATTATTTGTAAAGAATTTAGATGGCTGTTATTAGTAGATCCGCAAATAATAATTCCATACGTTATGTGGCCTTCAATTAATTTTTCATAATTGATAATTTTAACTGAGTTTTAATTTGCCGATAACATCTGAACCTATACAGGGTGTTCATTTGAAAACTTCCCCCACGGATTTTTCGAAAATTTTAAATGACAAAGGTATCGACTAATAGCTTGTTTGAAAGTTCTCTCGAAATCCTTTATTTTGACTTTGATTTTTCTAAATCTATCGATTCGTTTTCAAGAAAATTAGAAAATTGTTTATTTATCTTAATTTGTTCAAATAGAAAACAAAAACACACGAAAATATCACTTTTTATTGCAATAATTTAAAAAATCAAACGTCAAATTGAAAGGACTGGGGGGGGCGAATTTATCAATGAATTGAACTAGTCGTATATTCAGGAACTTTTCAAACGCTTTTCCAAATTTGTTATAACAGAAATTGGAATTTGATATTACTGTTTTTTTTTTAATTCGATCTGTAGACACTGACACTAACTACGGTTGCATTTTTCACCTGATCTTTTGCTAGGCTGCGAAAATTTAGAGCCCAATATTTCGCTTGTATTAAGACTGCAGTGTATGCAGCAAAGGAAAATTTGCTTGTTTTTACAAAAATTACATGCAATATAAAGGAAAGTCCCAACTGCAAGAACACTTCGTATGTTATACAGTGGACCTCCGGTAATTCGACAAACATTATGCAGGACAGTGTCGAACTATCAAATTTGTCGGATTATAGAGCACTGCCTAGGACCCCCTATAGTCCGGAATTTTTTACAAAAGAGTACCTTGTAATCCGACAAATTACATATCCAATGGTAAGATTATATATGTTATGTATATGTATGTACTTTGAAGTACAAATCATCCATAGTTTATGTATGTCGAATTTAGTAAATTAAATAACAATAGAGAGCTTACGTTTTATTATAAAATTAAGCATAAATGCACATACATATGTACCAAAATAATCAAGAATTATTAATCAAAATCATTAATGAATTTATCAAATTATGAAGCTTGGAAATATTCATCAATTTTTTTTTGTTTAAGGTTGTTATAACGCGAGATCAGAGCTTTGTCCCTCAGTCTTCTCAAAAGTAAAAGTTCGTTGTAGGGTGTACCATTATCTTCAGCCCATTGTAAGCCTAGCTCAAAGGCGTTAATTGCGTCTTGTGCTGTGACTTGTGGAGCAGTTGCAATTACGTCGTCGTTATTTTCCTGATTGTTTGTTGTATAATTAGAAACCTCTTTTATAATCTCTTCGTCAGACATTTCATGAAAAACATTTTCCTCTTTATCCATTCCACGGCACCAGATTTCCAAATCTTCCGAACTTATCTGTGTTTCAGTAGCGACTTGTTCTATAACTTCCGAAGTAATACTGATTTGTGGAACGTTGCTAGGAGTGGTGACTATATCTGGCCATAACTTTTTCCAAGACGATTTAATAGTTGATGACGGTAACGCATTCCACGACTGACAAAGAGCAAAAAGCAAGTCTTTCATATTAAATTCTTTTAAAGTTTTTTCTATTGGTTGGTCTTTTGATACGGCTCTCAGAAGTAGGTTTTTCTTATAGTCTTGCTTGACAAACTGAATGATATTCTGGTCCATTGGTTGAATCAGTGCAGTGCAATTTGGCGGAAGAAATATCGCAGTGATGTATTTATTTATCCTCAGTTGTTAGTTCTTCTTTTAAGCATTTTCTAACTTCAGGTACGAAGCGTTCATCAAACCACTTTTTGAAAAGGTCTTTTGTCATCCATGCACTTTTTTGTCCGTAATAGTGTACAGGTAAAGGAATGTTTTTGAATGCCCGTGGTTTATTAGATTTCCCAATGACCATCCTCTTAAGCGCTTGTGTGCCCGCAGCGTTAGTTAGTATGGTTGCACGCTCTTTACTTACTTTTCGTCCAGGTACGGATTTTTCGTTACAAGAAACGAAAGTTTTGTTAGGCATCACACGCCAAAAAAGCCCTGATTCGTCTGCATTGTACACCTGTGACGGGTCAAGATTTAAATCGTTCACCTTTTGCAAAAATCTTAATTTAAAGGGCTCTCTATGCAGGAGGCATCTTTATTAAGTTTCTCTCCTGTTATAGTCATTAAACGTATGCCATGACGACTTTTAAAACGTTCTAGCCATCCTTTGCTGGCCACAAAATCATCTTTTTTTGTTATTTCCGTATAAAAAATCTTAGCTTTCATGGCCAACATGGGTCCTGAAATGGGTGCATGCCTACTGAAGAAACCACATGTACAAAGCTTCTTCCACTTCTGGATGTTCAGCTTTCTTGAGTGTCTGTCTCTTGCCTGGCCCGCAGTCAGTAGTTGACGCGAACTTCTTGATCTTCTGGTGGTTTTTTTTAATGTCATAAATTGTAGATCGGCCTATGCGGTATTCACTTCATAAACTACTGAAGGTTTCATTGCGATTTAAGCGGTCTAAAATATCACATTTTTCTTTAATTGTCAATGTTTTGTGCCTTCGCTTCTGAGTTTGTGATGACATTACTAGGTACCATACTTAATACACAATGAATAAATAGTAAAAAATGAACGCACGCTAGGCCGTACCGCTATCACCAGTAGTCAAATTCAAACTAAGTAAAACAATGCTTACGCGTCGAGCACGTACAAGTTGTAACCTGTTCAAACCTGCGTGATCTACATTAGCGAAGATTGTCAAATACGTATGTATGTAATACATATTCAAAGACATGTCGGATTACAGGGGGCGCCGGATTAGACAGGGGCCGGATTATCGGGGGTCCACTGTATGTAGAATCATACAGAAAAGTACAATCAGAGATAGATTAATGTTCTCAGCCAGCTTCGTGAGCACAAAAGCTGTTTCCACAAAAACTTTGTTTGAATTTTGCTTTATCTTTTTCAGACTAGAGATACTCCGAATCTAGTATACAAGCATTACATAGTTGGTGCATCGTTCAACTCCAATGTTATCCAGGTCCCAAAGTACAATGTAATAATGAAATGGCCTACCATCAATGTTTGGTTCAACAATGATCCGTATCATTCACCAGCAACTGCACTGAGTTTAGCCCTCAGTGCTGTATTTAGGAAAATAAAAAGTTGCAGTGACTGTGACATTCAGTTTACGAACGATCCGTTCCCGTTTTCTGATGAAACACAGGTACGTCGAATTCACGGACTACAATATTCACAAAAATTATACTCTAAAAATCTGTTAACATTTTGTCTTGATTTTATAACTGCAAATGTTGAATCAATTAAATATTTAGGTATATATATTGATAGCAAACTAAAGTTTGAGGATCACTATGAATACATTATTTCAAAGATTGCCAAAAAAAGAATTCCTTTTATATGGCGTCTAATAGTTTATAATACAATTATTCTATCGCATTTACTATACTCGTATTGCGCAACTATCTGGTTCACTGCCAATGAAGCTGTATTCTCAAAATTACTAGTACTGCAAAATAAGGTATGAGAATAATGTTGAATAAGAATAAGTACAACAAAATAAAATTGTATGTTACAATAATTCCAGTGGTTGAATGTAAAAAAATTCATATCATATTTGGTTCTTATTTATATATTTAAAATAAAAAATCATCTTTCTCGACAATATTTAGAACACTACATAGAATTGAATAATCATTACCACAACTATTATACAAGAGGAAATATAGATTTTCATTTACAAAATTGCAATAGCAATATAATTAGCAAGTCAATATTTCAGAAGGGATTACTTGAATTTAATAAACAAAATAATGATATAAAGTCTACTTACAATTTGAAGATGTTTGAAAGAAAATTAAAGGAATATTTCATTAGACAGTGAAATTTCTTAGAGATGCAAATTTTGTTTTTTCTAAATATCTGTATGTTATGCTAAATAAATCTTAAACAAACAAACAGACAAAATAAAAGAATACATTTTTCCACAAAAATTGAATATACTCTACCATGGTCCTATGTTTATTACTCCAATCTCAGTACGTATATTCCGAATGACACTATGTATATCATACTGACCTGCACTTTGGAAATTATATTTTCACCTAGGAGAGTACATTTTTCGAAACCTATATTTTCTATGTATTTTTAGGTCAACCAAATCGTAAAAGGCGAGTCAAGAGGACAGCAGTTGGCAGTCTACCTGACATGTGCCTTTGCTTTCACGTCATGTTTCTACACCATGTTTCTTATAAAGGAAAACACGTGTAAATCCCGACATCTCCAGTTTGTGGCTGGTGTGAAAATATACGTCTTTTGGATAATGAATTTTCTATGTGATTTTGCGACATACCTTGTGATCTGTTTGTTGACGTTGATCACATTAGTCAGCTTCCAAGAAGATGGGTATAAAACAGTTGAAGACTTGAGTACGTACACGGATATTGTTGATGATCGCATCTGTTGATGATATGTTTTAGGTCGATTTCTCGTGATACTGCTTTACTTTGGATGGGCATTCTTCCCCATGGTATACATAGCTGCTTACTTTTTCGACGTACCTGCCAATGGATTCGCAAGAATGTCTGCCATTTGCTATTGTGCAGGTTTGTCAATTATTATATCATTCAATTCACTGACAATGGCTATAATAATAAGTTTATTCACGTATTGTACTATACAAACATACAAACTAAGCCTAACATACGTATGCGCAAATAAACAGCAAGTACCCAGAGATGAACGAATTTTTGTACGTAGGAGTGAATGACTCATAATTTATATAATTGCACATATATGCACATATTCATATATATATATATATATAATATACACATATACAAGGTGTTTTAGTTTATTGTTGCATAACTTTAAGATTCGATAGAACTTTTAAAATCAATGCATAAAGTCTATATAAACATGGGTCGAAAAATGCGTGGCTTCCGAAATCCAGGGTGTTTAAATTTACTTTTTAAATAGCTTTTTTTTTAAATATTTCGAACAATATTTGATGCATAACAGTGAAAATTGGTATACAAGGGTACGACAAAACGAACCATGTGCATAGTTTTACTGTAGCCGCTAGAGGGCGCTCTCTACTGTACCTGTAGTGTATTAAAATGATCGAAAAATTTTTCTTAGTGCAATTTTTTGCTTTTTGAATAAAAAAACTGATTCTTCGTACTTTTCTGCATAAAAAAGCTCTCCTGTGAGTTTTTGTTATAGTTAGCTGTTTTTCAGATATTTCGATTTTTAAGGTTCGATGCATTTTTAATTATCTATGGGAAAATATTTTTTTTTTACATTTTCGATTTGGGCATTACAAGTAATTAAGATGATCGTTTAGATTGTGTTTTTAAACACAGCAATAATTCCTAACTCCAAATAAACACAAAAAAAAACAGAATATTAATTTGTTTAATTTTCCAATATTAACAAATTAATTATTTACTAACTAAAATGCTATTGGATAGTTAGGACAAACATACAAAATCTAAAGTAGTTGTTCGAAATGTAAACCCAATTGTTCAATACACAATTCACATCTACGAATGATCGAACGTGGTATAGCATTATTCAAATAAGACCTTATTTCATCACATGCATTCCTGATTCTGTCTATTAGCATATCTCTTGTGGTTACGGGAGTCTGGTACACTTTTTCTTTTAGAAATCCCCACACAAAGAAATCTAATGGATTTAGGTCAGAGGATCGTGGACGCCAGGCGACTGGTCCTCCACGGCCGATCAATCTTTCTGGATAATTTTCGTCCAGCCAGTTTCTAACTATTCTCGAATAATGAGCTGGACAACCATCAAGTTGGGACCAGGCCAATCTTCTTAAATTTAACATAACATCATCCCAAATATTTGCCTGTTGAGCCTTTAAAAATTCCAGGAAGGTTGCAGCATTTAACCTTGCAGGCACAAGGTAGGGTCCAAATAGTCGATTACGGTAGATACCAATCTACACGTTCACACTAAATTCATGCTGAAAATTTCTTTCCCGAACTGCATGCGGATCTTCATGCGACCACACATGTTGATTATGAAAATTTACCACTTCACGTCTAGTGAAGCATGACTCATCGGTCCATAAAACGTTACTTAAAAACTCCCTATTATTATCAGTTCTATCAAGAATCCACTGACAATATGTGATTCTTCGTTCTCCGTCCCCTGGCTGTAGTCCTTGCACAGGTTGCAAATGGTAAGGACGTCTATGGTCATTTCTAAGAACACGGTGAACATGGCTTGCTGAAATTCCCAAGGCAGCAGAAACTCTCCTAACACTTGTGGTCTGATCTCTATCAAACTCACGCAGAATCATACGGGTAAATCTGCGCTGACGAACATTTATGTTTTGATCCCTTTGGAGATTTCCAAAACCATTTTCAGTTATTTGGCGATGCACTCTTACAAGTACTGAGCGAGTTGGATGTCGTCTGTTTGGAAATCTTCGTGCGTATTCTCTGGCTGCTTCTGCTGCGTTTCCATTTACAAAGCGATACACAAAATGAATATCCGCTAACTCTTGATTGGAGAATGAAAATGGCATTTTCATAAAACTTACAAAAAAAAACAGGTAAAAGAAACTAAATTTCGTGCATTCACAATTGCAAAAAAACGTTTCAGGTTTCAACACACAACAAAACTAACTGTCAACTAATTGACGTTTAATCTTATTCTGATTTCAATTTCAAAAATATTTGCAGGCACAGCCTACTTCTAAAAATTATCGAGATACTGACTTTTTAACGTTATTTTATCATAAATAATTAAAAATGCATCGAACCTTAAAAATCGAAATATCTCAAAAACAGCTAACTATAACGAAAATTCACAAGAGAGCTTTTTTATGTTGAAAAGTGCAAGGAATCAGTTTTTTTTGCAAAAAATTGCACTAAGAAAAATTGTTCGGTCATTTTAATACACTACAGGTACAGTAGAGAGCGCCCTCTAGTGACTACAGTAAAACTATGCCCATGGTTCGTTTTGTCGTACCAAAAAAACCTTGTATACCAATTTTCACTATTATACATCAAATATTGTTCGAAATATTTAAAAAAAACTATTTTAGAAAGTAAATTTAAACACCCTGTATTTCGGAATCCACGCATTTGTCGACCCATGTTTATATAGACTTTATGCATTAATTTTAAAAGTTCTATCGAATCTTAAAGTTATGCAACAATAAACTGAAACACCCTGTATACACATATTCAGTAACATGGGAGTTTTGAACCAATTCATTAAGTTTAATTTTCTTTCATACTTATCATCCATGGAATGTCGTCTCGATTTTTCTCAAATATATTTTTTTTGTCTTAATTTTATGTTTGAAGTATTCCTTGTATCATTCGGTAATGCGTTATATAGTCTACTGGAAAGATATATATGACATCTTTGATCTATACTTTTTGAGGTGTAAGGTGTTGATGTTGTTGATTTTGTTTCTGATTCGATATAAGTGATTTAGTGGAATAAGATAATTTCTATGTTGAAACGGATAAGTTATAATTTTATAAAGAAAATAGTTTCCTAGGGTCTAACAGTGGCGTGGTTTGTCAAAGATTATTTTTAAAAATTGTTTTTTGATAATTTCTAACTTATTCACTTAGTGCTCAGTACCTAATAATCGCTTGGAGAGTTACTGACTTGAGCATAAATTCATCAAGTTTCCTTTACCTTTTTGGTTTAAGAAAACTATGTACTCAGCTTGTTTCTGTATATTTTATTAATCAAGCAGTGGTGACATTAACATAAATGTTTACCCTGTACGTGACGTTTTTCATCTATCCAGCAATGACTTTTGTTGTTTGTTTTTGTAGGTGTACTAGCATTCGATATCATTAAAATAATGAAGATGGATGCCTTCAATTTAAAACGAGTAACTGATCCGTTACATTATATCATGTTATTGATACCTCACTATTCTTTGGCATCTGGTATAAGTGAGTCATTCGTCACGTTTTCTTATCAAAAAATGTGTGATGTACTGTTTGACAGATGTGCTCAAGTAGGACTGAATAAACACGATTGCCTCAGGAATATGACCAAGAAGATTGTCGACATTTGTGGAAGTAAGTTCAGTGTACGTTTTGGCTAATATTAATAATATGTTAATACCGGTAATATTCCGTATTCAAAATGCAGTGTTGGTTGCAGATTTTCTCAAAATACGATTTTTCATAAAAATCGTAATAACAGTTTAAATGATTTAAGAAATAAATAGTCGAAATTCACCAGACACAGATGCATTGTTTAAAATGTAACTAAAGCAATATAAGAATCACTCTTTATTAAAAAGTACCATTTGTTATGGCTGTAGATAAATCTAGAGTTCGTCGTTAAATCTTTTCAATCTAAGGCTTAGGTTTTATTGACGCATTTTCCTCATCAAATTTGATCTAAATTTTGAGCGTACTGATATTCAACAAATCTGAACAAAACATGCTGAAGAATGAGGATGTTTCCTATTTTTTTTTTAACCACACTGAAGAATTTTTTTGGATATCCTAAAAAACGGCAAAGTTTCGCTACCCAGAAGTTTTTTATATGGATAATTATTTTGTTGGAGCGTGAGAAAGAGCGATGTCGTCACATGACAGCAGCTATCATTGTTACGACAAAGCGATGCGCCAGCCATATAGTCCACTCTATTTCGAATAGCATGTTTGTCAGACATTTTACAATAAGCATAAATTATACCTAACTCTACATAGTCTAATATTGTAATTTGAGCACAGTCACTTTTTTTTAACTTAGCCATCATACTGGATTCGTCATCTAGATGTTTTGAGAATCGATGCTTGATTTGCTATTATGTATCTTAAAAACATAAGTTCGTTACTTGCGACCCTGAAAACATATAAAATCTAAATTTGAGCTCAATCAAGACATTTTTTTGCAAAGATATAAACCATTTTGATATCGACATCGCATTCGTTATCAGTCACCTTTAAAACGTGTAAATGGATTGTTCTGTAAAATTTAGTGAATCTTTCGGATTTTAGGGCTATTGAACTTCTGTGGCGTCGATTGTGTGTAGGCTTAATTATAAATGTTTATGCGTGCCAAAGCGTAAATGTTTCATATAGCACATTTAACCATTATTAGCGGTACGTAACCTTCGTCCATTTTATTTGTTATATATATAACTTGAGACGTGGTCGTTGTCGTCTAGATCAGTTAGGTGGAAAATTAAAGCTTCCGCCTTTTGTTGGGTACTTCGACAAAATTTAAGCAAAGAGGACTCTTTATACTTTTTTAATTCTCTCTAGCTTTCAATGGACTTTGCCATCATCATCAGGAGCTGCAATTACAATGATAACAGTAGCAACAAAAGTGTAAAATGAATTTAAATTGACTCAACTTACAGTAGTATGTGAGGATGTTGCGAATTGTTGTTTACGTATAGGATGAGGGAAACGTCCAGTAACATGGTGAGAGCTGGATAGATGGTACAATGGTCAAAATTATATAAAATATGACAAGAACAAGTTAAAAACAGATTAAAAATTATTTAAAAACATTAGAGCATTACATCGTGAAGCCACTTGATGATTGCACAAAATGGTGGTCGTGGAATAATGAGTGAGATGAACCCTTTGACAGAAGGCCGAAGGTTGTCAATGTCTGTGTTGAAAGATAGAACGAATTGTGGGAGTGTGCCAAACGTTGCCAAATCACTTCAGATGATGTGATTTTCAGAACGTTATGTAAGAAATTGTTAAACCGACCAGAGGCAGTTATATATTAAAATATAGTTTATTCAACTGTCTCTGGTCGGTCTAACAATTTCTTACATAACATTCTGAAAATCACATCATCTGAAGTGATTTGGCAACGTTTGGCACACGCCCACAATTCGTTCTATCTTTCAACACAGACATTGACAACCTTCGGCCTTCTGTCAAAGGGTTCATCTCACTCATTATTCCATGACCACCATTTTGTGCAATCATCAAGTGGCTTCACGATGTAATGCTCTAATGTTTTTAAATAATTTTTAATCTGTTTTTAACTTGTTCTTGTCATATTTTATATAATTTTGACCATTGTACCATCTATCCAGCTCTCACCATGTTACTGGACGTTTCCCTCATCCTATACGTAAACAACAATTAGCAACATCCTCACATACTACTGTAAGTTGAGTCAATTTAAATTCATTTTACACTTTTGTTGCTACTGTTATCATTGTAATTGCAGCTCCTGATGATGATGGCAAAGTCCATTGAAAGCTAGAAAGAATTAAAAAAGTATAAAGAGTCCTCTTTGCTTAAATTTTGTCGAAGTACCCAACAAAAGGCGGAAGCTTTAATTTTTCACCTATATATATATATATATATATATATATATATACATATATATATATATATATATATATATTACAATTAATTGTTAATTGGGAAATTGGCAAATTTTTAGGCTAAAGTTAACTCTTTTGATGATAAAATCAAGCTTTCCGCATTCTCTATGGAGCCTTCATCAGGATTCTGAAAACACAATTGTGAAGCTAGCAAAGAAAACAGGACAGATTTAAATTGTAAATTTTCTTTGCTAGCATCACAATTGTGTTTTCAGAATCCTGATGAAGGTTCCATAGAGAATACCGAAAGCTTGATTTTATCGTCAAAAGGTTCAACTTTAGCCTAAAAATTTGCCAATTTCCCAATTAACAATTACTTGTATTTTGTGCCCAACTGGTCGTTGGCTTTGGCAATGACTACTGCTCACATATAATATCGCACAGCGATTTGTGCCAAGATAAACGCAATATGGACCAGTTAGCTCGAGCGCTAAAGATGAATGTGACATGCAAGTGCCATTACGTCGCCCGGCCGCGTCAGTGCCCAAGTTATGTCGAATGTGACCTCACGTCCGGACCTCGAGTGCGGTCGGCTACAGCAACCAATACAGGAAACGTCATAACTTAAATTTTAAATTATTTTGTTTGTTTAAGATTGATTTAGCATTCTTGTTAAAAAACTACCTCAATTTCATAACATACAAATATTCAAATTATTGGAATAATCCTTTCATATTTGTGAAAGGTACGAGTTATGAGTACGAGTACGATTATGTAACTGAAACTTGCATAATTATGACTATAGGAGAGTTCCTGATTATTGACATTTTCAGAAAAAAAGGCATGTCACAAGTTCAATACCCGATGATCCAATAAATAAGAAGTTATCCTTATTTCTTATAAACAAATTGCACCAATAGAATATCCTTAACATCTGCAAAATGTCATCTAGATAAGTTTGGCTGTCATAGTCTATCCAATCCCCTAGGCGTCCTCGGGAGTTTAAGGTCATTAATTTTATTCGTGTAGGGGTTTCTGCATAATTAAACGAGTCGTAGATAACGAGAACTGTATACTGGATAAACACAAAAATAAAGGCGACCTTAACTGCATACATGCGTGCTGCAATGAAAAAAAATAAAAACCAAAAATGACGTCTTATATTGTAGGAATTATTTTCACGGTCTGTATGCACAAAAGCAGTGAGAGTTCCCATCTCTACGAGATGTGTTGTTAACAGAACTGAGTGATGCACAATTGACAACTGCTGTTAAAATTGTCCACAGAAATGGTGTAAGACGATCTAGATATGGGAACTCTGACCTACCAGTTCGCATTATCATCCAGTTTGCAATGTCGTAGTCACAAATCTGTTATTTCCACTTCCTCATTTGTAGGTCCTGGAGGTAACTACTACAAATGGGATTCTCCAGGCATCGCCCGAAACATACTTTTCAGCATCATAGTAGGTTTCGCCCTATTCTGCATCTTGTTTCTTATCGAATATGATACCGTCACCAGGCTGGTCCAACGTATCATATTCAAATTCAGACCTCGGTACCCAATCGAAAATACCGATGAAGATTCGGATGTGACAGAGGAAAGAAGACGTATCAGAGATATGACTACAGCTGAATTGACCACGACCTATGACTTAGCTGTGAAGGATTTGACAAAGTACTACAAAAAGTTCTTGGCGGTTAACGGACTGTGCTTGGGCGTGAAGAGATATGAGTGTTTTGGTCTACTGGGTGCTAATGGTGCTGGAAAGACCACAACGTTCAAGATGATGACTGGGGATGAGACCATGACATATGGTGAAGGCTGGATAAAGGGGTATAGGCTACGGACGGAAATGAGACAGGTATAAATCTAAGCCTTTGTGTGTTTAGCCGAATAGTTTTACAAAATTTTATCACAACCGACTAGACCCTATCATGTCTTAGACATTAAAACTTCTCGGTCATCCGCTATGACTCCTCTATCTATCTATATAGATATATCTAACTATCAGTCTATCTAACTGTCTATCTATCTGTTTGTCAATCTAACCTCTACCTAACAAATCTATAATACAGCGATTATACCTTTATTTAGGACCAAGATCAGGCATAAGCTTACGTGACATTATAAAGCACCTACGCTTTGAAAATGTCGAAAAAAATTAAAAAGAAATCGACATTTTTTTTAGCCACACATATACAAATAGTGAATGTTAGCATCATATTATTCGTTGTATAAATATCTGTGTTTTATTCCTATGCACAATTGCAATATTACTGGTCTATGCACAGGAAATGCCTCCTATGGACCCTTCGTTCATATTTATTTACTAATCTTTAACACGCTTTTTTATAAGCTTAACTTAACATGTATGCGAATTCCTTCGTTTCAGCGAGTATCCAACCCCTTATTTTCCTTGTCTGCCGTGTCCCGTATGCCCTGTCTTTCTATACTCGTATGCATAAAATGCCTTATGAGATTTTTATATTCAGAGAGACTGTTTGTTGTTACTATTATTCTTATTATTTTTCAGGTACACAGAGTTATTGGATACTGTCCGCAGTTTGACGCTCTTCTAGACGACATGACTGCCCGAGAAACGATCGTAATGTTTTCTCTCATCAAAGGATTCCTACCTTCAGACGCTAATTATTTAGCTGAGAGGTTGTCTCAAGACTTAGATTTCGAAGCGCATCTTGATAAACAAGTGAAACAAATGAGTGGAGGCAACAAAAGGAAACTAAGTACTGCTATTGCACTGATAGGAGATCCGTCCATTTTGTTTTTCGACGAACCTACTTCCGGTGAGTAAAAAATTATTTTAACCCGGTAGTATGGAAAGTTCTCCTGGTAAGGATAAGTGTGATTCTGGCTCCCATCATGCTTATTCGCATGATCTAGATGAAAGCATTTCAAGATGATCTCTATCAGATATGAATATAAAATGGAGTAGAATAGAATAGATGTTCATTCAACTATGAGCTGCAATATTACATTAACATGGATATAACAAAATCACATATATATATACATATATATGCCTTGGTTTTGAACTTAAGGCAGTTTTTGTCAAATACATCATGATCATATGAAATATTTGAGATCTGCAATTCATCGTATTCATAGTTACAATTATGGAAAATATAATTTTCTGCCTTAAATGCTTCCTTCATGTAATTTTCACTGCAGTATGGTAACTACAACAGAATTGTACTTCTCAGCCAATGTCTAAAAGGCCAATATCTGTAATATCGATGAACACTAAAAAAATGTTGAATACAAGACTCCTCCTTCCCAAATTTATTGACTGTTCCATTTTCTTCATTATACAGTTCAATCATCACGCTGCATGTTTGGCTTCTATTTTTACTACTCTTGCATTTATGAATTGTTGTCGCTTCACTATAACTTAACTCTTCAGGAATATTTTGATTTTGAAGTTTATATGCCCTATCATTCATCATTCAATTCCGCCTCGCAAACATTAAGTATTTTTATTTTCGGTTTAATTAACTGTAGTTCCAATTTTTAATTCATACTCTCATCTTAGTTCCACTATATTGTTCAATTTTGCTAATGATTTTTCTTCTTCTAACATCATTGTTCTGCTTGTGTGCTTTTATTATGTTGTTGTCTTTTGGTTTGACTGTCAATGGCCGTTAGTTCTACTACTAATTTTAAAGAATTCTCCAGTAATTTATCTGTTTTCTTATCAGTTTCTTGGTTTTGATTAGTTGCTTTCTTTTCAGTAGCATCCAAAGTATTCTCGATCCTAATTAGTCGTTGCATAATTCTTCCTTTTCCTTGATGTATTTATTATATATATACTAAGTGACATAAATCCGAACACCCAGTTTAAATGGTTTTATTTTAATAAAATTTTGTATAAGTACTTAATGAAGCATAATAAGTAAATGATAAAAATTTCAAAATGATTGCACTGCTTTAAAGCCCTTTGACCTTTAATAATGTGTGGATGCACCCTGATGTGCTACGCATTCTCCATGCTTTTGATCAGGTGGTCAATGTCCTCCCGTGGTATCTCATTCCAGTGCTTCTAGAGTCTGAGAAGGACGTTGCAAATTGAGCAATCTCCTACCCATCATATCCCACACGTGCTCAATTGGGGATAAGTCGGGAGATCTTGGTGACCATGGTAACAATGTGACATCATTGTGTTGAAAGAAGTCTATTGTGACTCTTGCAACATGTGGTCGGGCATTATCTTGTTGGAAAGTTGGATCTGCCAGGGTGTCAAGATAGGGTAAAAGATGGGGTTCTAGAACTTCGTGGATATAACGCTGAGCGTTCATGTTACCTCTGATGAAGATTAAACGTGACCTGGAACCATAAGCTATAGCACCCCAAACCATAACTCCAACAGTGTGATGTCTTTCAACAAAAAACTGTGGATTCCTCCTTTCACCACGTCGCCTTCTAACCCTGGCACGACCATCGTGCATGCCTAAACAAAATCGAGACTCGTCACTAAAGACAATACTGTTCCATTCCTGATCCCAGAGTGACCGTTGTCTGCACCACTCAAGGCGATTACGTCGGTGTTCTCGAGTTAAAGGGAGGACCCAGTGTGGCCGGTATGAAAACAAGCCAAAACTTCTCATTCGTCGGTAAACACTTCGCATGCCAATAGATCTTCCGTGTTCTGCAAACCATTCATTTGCAGTGTACCTGGTAGTGGAGAAACTGTCCCTTAAGGCCAATAATCTTAGGCGGCGATCTTCACGGTCTGTTGTTCTACGGCGGCGTCCAGTGCCCCTTGCTCTTTGCGTACGGCCTTCTCGAAGCCATGCCTGACAACACCTAACCACAGTGTCCACACTTCTTTGCACTCTAACTGCAATTGCCCGAAAAGAAAGTCCAGCTTCCCGAAGTCCCACTATACGGCCCCTATCAAACTCACTAAGTTGACGAAATCGTACAGGTCTCCGTACTCTAGGCATCGTAACCGATCGTAAAGATGTTAAGAACCAAAATCCGCCAACGTTGATTCTTTACTGCGGCTGAAATATTCATTTTTAGAGCGTTAGTGAATTAAAAAAAAAAACAGTATAAAAACCGGAATGTCCAACTGATAAGGCTGAAAATTTTTTCACTTGTTATTTACAGTAAGATAAATACATTCACCAACTTTTATTAAAATAAAACCATTTAAACTGGGTGTTGTATAGTGTATATAGGGTGGCCCATCCATGTGTGGACGGAATATTACTCATAAACAAATACATTTTGGGAAATCGATTTATGGCAAGTTATACATGACATTTGAGGGCACATTTATGAAATATTGGCGAAGATATAGTGTGTCCCAATTTTGACCTACATATCAAAGCTGTGATTTTTTAAGTGGAATGCCTGAAATTTGGCATATGGCATTTTTGGATAAACCGATTCAAAAGAATAAGATTGATATGACATGCTATGGGTTTTTGGTAATTAGCTACTGAGATGTAAGGTGGTCTGTCCAGAAAAACCGTCCACTTCTACTACTGAATGTTGTATCACAAAAAATTTACACACCTTAGCTTTTATCTGATTTTTACGTTTATGAATTTTCAATTTTGCTCATACAGGGTGGTCAAAAACGCGAATTTCTCAATATTCAATTTTTCATAAGCTTTTTTTGACATAAGGTTTGATTCAGATAAAAATCACTAGATTGTGAGTTATTAAGCTTTTAGTAGAACAACACACCAAAATTAAGGAAAAAATCAGATCATCTATGGAAACAGAAGACAAACAGTGGGCTAGTTCCGTATTGCCACTAAGAGTACAGATTTGACGTAAAAACAAATAACAATTAGAACAGTATAAATCGGCTTCAAGCGTAATAGAGAAAAACAGTTTGTAACTAATCAACGATTTATTTGTTTCCAAGGATGATGCGATATTTTAGGAATAACCGAAAAAACAGCTCTAAAAACCCTATGTGCCTAGTATCAAAAAAGATTATAAAAAATTCAATCCAAACTTGCACGAATATACAGGGTGATGCATTTGAATTTTTTGAGAAAAAGTACAATTCGCGTTTCTGACCACCCCTGTATGAGCAAAAAAGGAAATTCGAAAAAGTAACGAATAAGATAAAAGCTGAGGTGTTTAATTTTTTTTGATACAAAATTCTGTACTCCAAATTTCAAAATGGCGGACTGAAGGGTTGCCGATGTGGGGGTTTTTCTAGATAAAACACCGGATATCTCAGTAGCTAATTATCAAAATCCGATAGTACGTCATATCAATTTCCTTGTTTTGAATTGGTTTATCCATAAATGCAATAAAATTTGAAGCATCCCAACTAACAAAGCAGTGGTATCAGCTTTTGGTAAAAGAACCGTTCAGAAATAAAAGCTCTCTATTGTTGTTGCCTGAACACCAAGATGCTGGCCTAATGTTGTGTGGAATGCAAATTTGCTTTCTGCAACATACTTACTCTAAAATAAGGTGTTCAAAATATTCTTATAGCATAGTTATACAACACCTTATAGGGCAAATTTTTAACTGTTGCATAAACATTTATACAACTATTTTATACGGCATATTTGCAAGTTAGTCAAAATGTTTGTGTTGTGGCATCCATGGTAACGTTTATAAAACAACCCGAGCCTTGTTATTTTGATGTGCAATTTACTACCTTAGCCAACAAATTGCTCCCAATGGAAGCACTTATACAACTGTTGTTTAGTAACTGTTAAAGGCTGTACATATTATGCTAAATATGTTGGTAAATAACTTCACCATAACCTAACTTTCTGCTGTCATATTTTTGTTAAAATGCCATAAACAATGTTTTAAAACAAACAACGCATGCATATTGGTTCAAAAGGTTTTATCAACTGTTCAATCAGAAGATATAGGATCTGGTAAATCATTCGACTCTGTCGGTATTTCATTTCAGACATTTGTCAAATTATTGTATAACACCTGCAGGCAACACCAAATTATTCTAATAACCTAAAGACAACATGGACGATGCCATGATTGTACACAACCACCCGCCATATTATTCCTCTATTTAATATTAAATAATTATGTTTCAGTTCTAAATTACAGATATAAAGTGATAAACATTAGTGTAATTGTGTCTAAATATAGGATTTGTGGAAGATTTAACGCAGATAAGTTCAGTTTTCCATCTTAAAAATCTAGACATACTTTTGATCATTGTCAAAATATGAATCAAATACGAAGCTCGTAGAAATTGGGTAACTAATTTGCACGATAATCACAATAAAATTTGCTGCGCAAGTAATTTAATAGCCCAATATCAAAGTGTAGAAGTTTATCATATACCTGTGTATGAAATTCACAATGGCCGATATGTAAGTAAACAAGATGACTGTAATGTGTTAGTTATATATTCTTCACTTCGTCTATACAATACATAAGAAATAGTTTGGTTGCAATAAAGTAGAATCACGTATCAGAATAGTTGTATAGTTGACAATTATTGAATCTTGCACTGACGCAAATGTCCTATAGCGGCTGCAAGAGGCTTACACTTTTGTTTTATAACTGTTACCTGCAGCCCTTATACAACCTCTTAAATGACTGAAGTGTCCTATTAGGTGTGCCCATTCCGCTTGGATAGCTGTTCTAAGAGGGTTTTTCCAATGTTCTTACAGTATAAAATGCTGTTTAGGGAATACTGTATAAACGTTCTTGCAACTCTAATAGGAGTGATAATTGTTAGTTGGGATTCCATTTGAAAAATCACAACTTTGATATATAGGTCGAAAATGGGACACCCTGTATAATGGCCAATATTCTAGAAATGTGCCCGCAAACGTCACGAATAGCATCCCATAAATAGATTTTCCCAAGATGTATTTGTTTTTGAGTAACATTCCGTCCACATATGGATGGGCCACCCTATATATATAATTGTTCTCAGTTGCCAATTCTGGTAGATAACCCTTGTGACATCATATTTCTATTAATGGCATGTTTAACAGAGAAATATTTCATCTTCAGGTATGGATCCTGCGACCAAACACTTCTTCAGAGGTGCTGTGTGCAAAATTCGAGATAAAGGAAAATGCATCGTTCTAACCTCTCATGCCCTAGAGGAATGCGAAGCTCTTTGTACAAGATTGGCCATCATGGTCAATGGTAACTTCAAATGCCTTGGATCTGTTCAACATTTGAAGAATAAATTTGCCAAAGGATGTACCTTCAGCATAAAGATTAAAAAAGACGTGAGTAATTGTTTGACACGAGATTTCCAAAATTACCTCAAAGCGGGATAAACAAAATTATTCAAGCGGTCGCTCTGGTAAATTCACTTGTTATTCGAAATCTTCTTATGCAGACCAGATACAGCAGACTTGTCGCATACCCAAATAAGCAAATATACAAGCAAGTAGAGTCCAAAGGCCTCAGAAGTTCTAAGATTACAAATACCCACAATACCCCTAGCCTAAGAACTGGCGCTGCCCTTTGGTGATGTCCTAGATACGCGATTGAATTCAACATTTTGTTTTAGTTGTACCTCCTCAGTTAAAATATTTTTAGCTTCTCACAAAACTAATAAGCTTTTGGCTTACAGGCGAGTGATGTTAGCACAAGAACAATAGAAAGTTATATAGAAGAAAACCTACCTACAGCTAATTTACGTGAGAAACACGAAGATCTCTTAACCTACAGTATTTCAAACTCAGATGTGGCCTGGTCTAAAATGTTTGGTGTTTTAGAAGAAGGACGACGTAGCATTAATGAAATAGAAGACTATTCTTTAGGACAAGGAAGCTTAGAACAGGTTCGTTGTTTTTTCTAAGAACTAGGACTGACTAGTGACTTCTGACAGACAGGGAACTCAGAGCGTAAGCGAACGATGCGCAGTCAGCTACCTACGTATATAAGATAAGTTTAGGTGCAACTCAAGGATCTGTATTAGCACCACTTCTTCCCATCCTATTTATAAACGATCTGGAGCTGTCAGCTCAGTCCTGAACTACGCTGATAACACATCATGCGTGGTATCAGCAGATTCGCCTGAAGATCGTTCTGTTAACATTGAAATCGTAAGATTTGAGATGGAAGAGTGGCGCCAAACAAGTCGCACAATCTTGAGGCGGTAGTTGTTCACTTTTACTGTAGCAGCACTATCTCGGACCCTACGACCTTCCTGGGTATTGAGCAACATGTTGACAGTGTATACTGGAAACTGCTGTAATAAAATTGAAGCCAAATTCCGTTTCCCGAATCAGTAGATCGGCAGACGAGGCCCCGTCGGGTGGCCGCCGAGATCTTTAGATTTAGATTACTTTCTTTGGGAACATTTGAAAAGTAAAGCTTTTAGTACGAAGCCAGATTCCATTCAAGTACTTCTTCAGCAGATTACGGCTGAATGCAGACAAATAACACAAGACAATCCTGAAAATGTAAAAAAATAGATTCGAACAAAATCTTTATTATTCCATGGAGGTAACTAACAACACTTATTACCACATTGGACTACCTCTTTATAGCGAAGTATAGTATAATACCTTATTATTACAATTTCTAGAATTTTATTATAAACTCGAATAGCTTCACAACGATTGAAGATAGGTATAAACTTTATTATACAAAAGTTACTAAAAACTTCATGGATAATCTAGAAATTTAAAAAAATGGGGGTTTCCATTTGAAAATATAATGTGTAACGCAATACCTTAATTTTGGATCACCCTGTATTGTTTGGCTAAATATGCAAAGACCTCTCCTTGAAATCAAAATTGACGTGTCCGAGCGTTTTTCCCAAAATATACCAGGAGAGTCACAAATGGGGGTGCGACCTTTTCGTTGAACCACCCTGTATATGCGCTGCATATTCTTATTGTCATATTCCTCTGGGTACTGGAGAGTTTCCTTATGAACTTTTTGTTTCGGGCTACGATCAACCTATCTGTCATGCGTTCATTTCTTTTTGGTCATTAATATCCATTCATAAGTGGGCATCAACGTTTGATGGTTAAGAGAAAGCCACTGAGCTGGAAAATTATGTTGTACTTGTTTGGAAACGTGACGACCTTTGTTAGTATATTATACAAATAGATTGTGTTTTTGCAGGTTTTCTTATCATTCACAAAGAAGCAAAACTCGTAAGGAAAATGTGATAACTGCAGTATTCATGCCACAATGTACTTTGATCGAGTGACAAAATCACAAATTATTTTAATTTTGCATGTTACTATTGAAAAGTTCTATGACTTTTTTTCACCTGCAATCAACATTAGCAAATTATTGATTATTAGGTAAATGTACTTGTCTTTAAAGCCACTAGTCAAGAACTTTTCAAATTAGCTACGTTTCTGTGAGTTTATACATATAAATATATTTTGTTTATCACTTGTTTTTCTAATTTGTGTCTTCTTATTCTTCACTCACCCACCCCCAACCTAAAACTGTTTGTATGTCCTTAATCAGAATCGAATCTGAACTGTAAGTTTTTAAGAAATTATAAATACAACTCGTATAATAACAAAAATGTTATGCAAATGAGGGAGATTAGCCATTGAGCCAGTGGGTATCCGGTTAGTTCACGCCTATCTGTGATGGCTGAAGTTTTTATTTCCTTTAAAAATGATTATACAAGGTGTCCCAGAAGTCGACGTCAAGCCGAAACCGGGTAATAGGCAAAGTCATAACAACTATCAGAAAAATATTTAAAAAAATTTTATGTATGTGTTTTGAAAATTATAGGTCTTTGAAAAAAATATAGAAATTTCACACCCTACGGCAGTCTGTCAACTCCTGTTACTACAAATATTAACTTTTTTTGGATTTTATTTTTACAATGTAATGATGAATAATGCATCTTCAAACTGGTGTCTCAACCTTACTGCCAACTTTTCTCGTTCAGGAAAAATTGCCACTTATTTTCCAACCAAGTATTCTAAAGTAAAACTTTGCTCAACTTAAACTGGCTGTAGGTACTGGAAAAAAATGTACTACGAGAGTTTGGCAACTAACCTTAAAAGTTGGCGCATTTAATAACGATTCCAAAATGGTATAACACTTAGAAGATTACTCGTTAACTTATGCACAATTTTTATTTGAAAAAAAACTGATGAAAATTTTTCAAAATTTCCTAATGAGACAGCGATTATGAAAACCCATAAGGACCCTTAAGGATAACTGTTTGCACAACAGTGGGCGTCAAAATGCTGCTGATGATGAAGCGATATTGAGATTTATCTTCTCTCATCAAATGTGGGTTTGCTACGTGCCACTCGTGTAAGTTATGCAGGTTCATGTACCCATCTTTCTTAAATGTGGTCTCATCCGACCATAAATTTTTTTCAAAGAACTGTGGATCTTTCCTGTGTCTTTCTAACATTGTGCGACAAAAAGCAACTCGGGGCTCATAATCCCGGGGCAGGACAGGTTGAACACGCTGTATGTGGTATGGATGAAGCACATCACTTACTTGCTATTGCACACTTTGGTCCCGATCAGTACTCCTTCGTTTACTGCGCATCTTTACATGTTCGTGCTTGTTGATTTCGTACTGTTACTAATTTTGGATTCGTGAACTGGACTGTTGATCGCTTGTGATTTGGATTTGGACTGTTTACTTGCTCTTCAAAACAACATTTGCTTTCCTTAGACTATCTTTGATAGTGTGATTGTGCAGAGCCGCTATGTCCGTGTACACCGTACAAGAATATGCTAACATGCACCTCATTTATGGGGAATGCAGATGCAACGCTAGTGCTGCAGCGAGACTTTACTGTGAGAGGTACCCGAATGCAGCTCGTCATTCAGATCATCGAGTGTTCACAAATGTGCACCGCTTAGTGTTCTCAGAGGGCCAACTACCAAACCATTCACACGGTGAGGGAAGATCTTTCCTTCCTTACGAAGACATGGTGCGAGGAGCTGTCGAAGAAGACCCGAGTACTTCAGTGCGTGCAATAGAACTAAAAACAGGTGTGCCCAAAAGTACAGCCCATAGAATCTTGCAAAAAAACGTGCTCCATCCATACCACGTACAGCGTGTTCAAGCTCTTGTGCCCCGGGATTATGAGCCCCGAGTTGCTTTTTGTCGCACAATGTTAGAGAGACACAGGGAAGATCCACGGTTCTTTGAAAAAATGTTATGGTCAGATGAGACCACATTTAAGAAAGATGGGTACATGAACCTGCATAACTTACACGAGTGGCACGTAGCAAACCCACATTTGATGAGAGAAGATAAATCTCAATATCGCTTCAAGATAAACCATTGGACAGGAATTTTAAATGGTAAAATAATCGGTCCGTTTGAGTTCCCAGCGACTTTGACTGCTGAGGTTTATTTAGGTTTTTTGCAAAATCATTTAGAAAATTTATTGGAGGACGTGCCACTGAGTATTTACAGGGACATGTGGTTTCAGCATGATGGCTGCCCAGCGCACTATGCACTCTCAGTGAGAGAGTATCTCGATCAAAACTTTCCAGGCAGATGGATAAGGCGGTCTGGTACAATACCGTGGCCAGCCCGGTCACCAGATTTGAATCCGTTAGATTTTTTTACTGGGGAACTGTAAAAGAAAAAGTGTATTTCAAGCCGATTCAAAATGTAGCTGAGCTACAACAAAGACTATTGGAAGCAGCTGAGTTTGTTAATAACCGTGGATTCGCTCGTTTAATAACCCGATCTTTTTTAAGAAGATGTCGGCTGAAGGAAAACAGTTTGAGCATTTGCTGTAAAGGTAAATCATCATCAGCAGCATTTTGACGCCCACTGTTGTGCAAACAGTTATCCTTAAGGGTCCTTGTGCGTTTTCATAATCGCTGTTTAATTAGGAAATTTTGAAAAATTTTCATCAGTTTTTCTTCAAATAAAAATTGTGCATAAGTTAAAGAGTAAGTGTTATACCATTTTGGAATCCTTATTAAATGCGCCAACTTTTAAGGTTACTTGCCAAACTCTCGTAGTACATTTTTTCCAGTACAGCCAGTTAAAGTTGAGCAAAGTTTTACATTGGAATACTTGGTTGGGAAATAAGTGGCAATTTTTCCTGAACGAGAAAAGTTGGCAGTAAGGTTGAGACACCAGTTTGAAGATGCATTATTCATCATTACATTGTAAAAATAAAATCCAAAAAAAGTTAATATTTGTAGTAACAGGAGTTGACAGACTGCCGTAGGGTGTGAAATTTCTATATTTTTTTCAAAGACCTATAATTGTCAAAACACATACATAAAATTTTTTTAAATATTTTTCTGATAGCTGTTATGACTTTGCCTATTGCCCGGTTTCGGCTTGACGTCGACTTCTGGGACACCCTGTATACATATGTACTCATTAATAGACTGAATGTCAATAAGAAATTGATTGGCATACGTATGCATTTTGGTCCCAACAGTCATCTAAACCTAGTTTCACAGTCAACGGTAGAGGCTTTAACGTCAACCGGTGTGAAATTAGGGCAACAGTTCTCTCCTATATTCTATTTACATACCAGATAAATAGATAAAATAGACACTTGCTTAAACTGTTAGGATATTGACTATGACTTAGAGACTGGCTACTATCTCAGAACCTGTCCATAAAACCAGTTAGTCCAGCGTGCAAAGTATACTTTTTCTTCCCCAGTCGAACCTTATTGGCGAAAAAAAAACAGACTTGTGCTTGAAAATCACCGCCTACCATGATCGTCTTGATTACCATTCTGTTATCTTCAGCTGTCATGTAATCATCAGTATCATCTTCACTTTTGGCTTTGGATCGTAGCAACCTTGATGCATCTTGATACTTTAGCCTACAGTCGTAGAATGTTCGCAGCATTGGCTATTTCGGAGCATTTTGCTTCTTCGTCAGAGAGAATTTTGGGCTTCCGTTCTCTAGAAATCGTAGATGTTGTTTTTCTTCTGCGTGTCAAACTCATCACTGGAAGACGAGGACTCTTCACCAATACGAATATCTTCATCAAAGTCATTCGTCAGTGAATCTACTAGCATTGACAACTTATCTTCACTAGTCTCATTCAATTTGTTGTTGACAATGATTATGCTTTGCTGCATTCTTTCTCACCTATACCGGTTATTTATGGAACTATAATTGCTTGTCATACTTGCTTCGACCTCTGCAGTTATAAAAGAGCAGATTCTTGGGAAGGCATTACTTCAAACGGTAATGCTTGTGTGGATAGAAGACGGTAGACGAACACGAAGAAGGCCAACTGGTCCAACGAGACGTAGGGGAGACCGAAGGGATTTTAAACAAGGGTGATTTGAAACAGTACCGATTTCTCGGAACCTAAGGCCATTAGCGAGTGGTAACGTCGCTTTTCAACCACTTCCTTCTGCCGGCAGACGTGTCAGTTCGCGTCGGTGGCGCAAGTCGCACGGTTGTTGAGTTCCAAGTGACAAAAATTGTGAAAAGTAAGTTTTATACGTTTTTTTCCGATGCTTATATTTTGATACAGGTTTTGTATTTTGGTTTTAATTATATATGTTTCGAAAGCTCAGTAACTTAAGATTTATTATATATATTTGGTACAATTGATATATGTGTATTTGCTTCTTGATTGTGGATTAGATAAAAATTGGGAGGTTTTTCCTTGCTCAGGAGATTTGATATTATATCAGACAGTCAATAAACTGACTTTTATTTTAATCCAACTTGCTAATTTTGTTGCAGAATGCCTACTGATTATAAAGGAAAGACTGACACAGGTATAGCAAGTCGCGAAATATATATATATATATAGTCTTGCAGCAGAAGAAGTAACTTTGCGACAGAAAAGTCTCCGTGACGCGGCTTCGAGTTACAACCTGAACCATACCTCCTTCTTCTACTATATTAGAACTTCAGTTACTGTGACAGCAGTTTCATTCTCACCTGAAACTCTGAGGCCCTTGCCAAAGGCTTCACCAAGGAAACGAAATCAAACAAATAGACGCAAAGTGAAATCCGCTATCTTAACCAACACTCCTGTAAAGGATGAACTAGCTGCAATCGAAGCAGCTATAACGGCTAAGAAATAAGTGAAAAAACCCAACTTTGAAGAAACAAATACAAAAAAAAGATCAAAACCAGGCACTACAATTAAAAAGAACAAGGTTGTCAAGAAATAAAGAGGAAACGAAGACAGTGAAGAAGAAGAAGAATCCTTCTGCTTTTGGTGTATGGAGCCATATTCAAACAGCAGAGCCAAAGGAAAGTGGGCTCATGAGGCCTGCACTGGTGGGGAACTTTCTTATGTTTGCCACAACTGTTTGTCAGATTGACGTTTTTTATTTTCATAGTATTTTCATTTTTGACATTTGTGAGATTATTATTTACTTGAGTATTTGACGAAATATTGATCAAGACTGACTGTAATACTTAAGAAACTACTAATAGTTAATAACTATTTATTTATCTGGGCA